CGGTTTCCTGGTATCCCGGTTTCCCGGTTTCCCGGTATCCCGGTATCCCGGTTTCCCGGCTTCCCGGTTTCCCGTTTTTCCTGTTTCCCAATATCCCGGTATCCCGGTATCCCGGTTTCCCGGTTTCCCGGCTTCCCGGTTTCCCGGTTTCCCGGTTTCCCGATTTCCCGGTATCTTGGTATCCCGGTATCCCGGTTTCCCAGCTTCCCGGTATCCCGGTATCCCGGTTTCCCGGTTTCCCGGTTTCCCGGTCTCCCGGTCTCCCGGTATCCCGGTTTCCCGGTATCCCGGTTTCCCGGTTTCCCGGTTTCCTTTCCCGGTTTCCCGGTTTCTCGGTATCCCGGTTTCCCGGTTTCCCGGTATCCCGGTATCCCGGTTTCCCAGTTTGGTATCCCGGTTTCCCGGTTTCCCGGTATCCCGGTTTCCCGGTTTCCCGGTATCCCGGTATCCCGGTTTCCCGGTTTCCCGTTTTTCCTGTTTCCCGGTTGCCCGGTTTCCCGGTTTCCCGGTTCCCGGTTTCCCGGTTCCCGGTTTCCAGGTATCCCGGTATCCCGGTATCCCCTTATCCCGGTATCCCGGTATCCCGGTATCCCAGTTTCGGTGTTTCCCGGTCTCCCGGTATCCCGGTTTCCCGGTTTCCCGGTATCCCGGTATCCCGGTATCCCGTTATCCCGGTTTCCCGGTTTCCCGGTTTCCTTTCCCGGTTTCCCGGTTTCCCGGTATCCCGGTTTCCCGGTGTCCGGGTATCCCGGTATCCCGGTTTCTCAGTTTGGTATTCCGGTTTCCCGGTATCCCGGTTTCCCGGTTTCCCGTTTTCCTGGTATCCCGGTATCCCGGTTTCCCGGTTTCCCCTTTTCCCGTTATTCCTGTTTCCCGGTATCCCGGTTTCCCGGTTTCCCGGTTTCCCGCTTCCCGGTTTCTTGGTATCCCGGTATCCCGGTTTCCCGGTTTCCCGGTTTCCCGGTCTCCCGGTATCCCGGTTTCCCGGTTTCCCGGTATCCCGGTTTCCTGGTCTCCCGGTTTCCTGGTTTCCCGGTCTCCCGGTTTCCCGGTTTCCCGGTTTCCCGGTATCCCGGTTTCCCGGTTTCCCGGTATCCCGGGACTTGAGAATGTTGGACTCGAGAATGTTGGACACGATAATGTTGGACTCGAGAATGTTGGACACGAGATTGTTGGACACGAGAATATTGGACACGAGAATATAGAACACGAGAATGTTAAACACGAGAATGTTGGACTCGAGAATGTTGGACTCGAGAATGTTGGACTCGAGAATGTTGGACACGAGAATGTTGGACACGAGAATGTTGGACACGAGAGAATGTTGGACACTCAAGAATGTTGGACTCGAGAATGTTGGACACGAGAATGTTGGACACTCAAGAATGTTGGACTTGAGAATGTTGGACTCGAGAATGTTGGACACGATAGTGTTGGACTCGAGAATGTTGGACACGAGATTGTTGGACACGAGAATATTGGACACGAGAATATTGGACACGAGAATGTTGGACACGAGAATGTTGGACTCGAGAATGTTGGACTCGAGAATGTTGGACTCGAGAATGTTGAACTCGAGAATGTTGGACTCGAAAATGTTGGACACTCGAGAATGTTGGACACGAGAATTTTGGACACGAGAATGTTGGACTCGAGAATGTTGGACACGAGAATGTTGGACACGAGAATGTTGGACACGAGAGAATGTTGGACTCGAGAATGTTGGACTCGAGAATGTTGGACACTCAAGAATGTTGGACTCGAGAATGTTGGACTTGAGAATATTGGACGCGAGAATGTTGGACACGAGAATGTTGGACACAAGAATGTTGGACACGAGAATGTTGGACACTCGAGAATGTTAGACTCGAGAATGTTGGACTCGAGAATGTTGAACACGAGAATGTTGGACACGAGAATGTTTGACACATGAGAATGTTGGACACGAGAATGTTGGACTCGAGAATGTTGGACACGAGAATGTTGGACACGAGAATGTTGGACTCGAAAATGTTGGACACACGAGAATGTTCGACACGATAATGTTGGTCACGAGAATGTTGGACACACGAAAATGTTGGACACGATAATGTTGGACTTGAGAATGTTGGACTCGAGAATGTTGGACTGGAGAATGTTGGACTCGAGAATGTTGGACTCGAGAATGTTGGACTCGAGAATGTTGGACACTCGAGAATGTTGGACACTCGAAAATATTCGACACGAGAATGTTGAACATGAGAATGTTGGACACGAGAATGTTTGTCTCGAGAATGTTGGAATCGAGAATGTTGAACACGAGAATGTTGGACACGAGAATGTTGGACACATGAGAATGTTGGACACGAGAATGTTGGACTCGAGAATGTTGGACACGAGAATGTTGGACACGAGAATGCTGGACTCGAAAATGTTGGACACGAGAATGTTGGACACACGAGAATGTTCGACACGATAATGTTGGACTTGAGAATGTTGAACTGGAGAATGTTGGACTCGAGAATGTTGGACTCGAGAATGTTGGACTCGAGAATGTTGGACACTCGAGAATGTTCGACACGAGAATGTTGAACATGAGAATGTTGGACACGAGAATGTTTGACTAGAGAATGTTGGAATCGAGAATGTTGGACTTGAAAATGTTGGACACGAGAATGTTGGACACGAGAATGTTGGACACGAGAATACTGGACACGAGAATATTAGACACTCGAGAATGTTGGACACTCGAGAATATTGGACTCGAGAATGTTGGACTCGAGAATGTTGGACTCGATAATGTTGGACTCGATAATATTGGACACGAGAATGTTGAACACGAGAATGTTGAACTTGAGAATGTTGGACACGAGAATGTTGGACTCGAAAATGTTGGACTCGACAATGTTGGACACAAGAATGTTGGACTCTCGAGAATGTTGGACACGATAATGTTGGACACGATAATGTTGGACTCGATAATGTTGGACTCGAGAATGTTGGACTCGAGAATGTTGGACTCGAGAATGTTGGACTTGAGAATGTTGGACTCGAGAATGTTGGACACGAGAATGTTGAACACGAAAATGTCGGACACGAGAGAATGTTGGACACTCATGAATGTTGGACTCGAGAATGTTGGACACGAGAATGTTGGACACTCAAGAATGTTGGACTTGAGAATGTTGGACTCGAGAATGTTGGACACGATAATGTTGGACTCGAGAATGTTGGACACGAGATTGTTGGACACGAGAATATTGGACACGAGAATATAGAACACGAGAATGTTGGACACGAGAATGTTGGACTCGAGAATGTTGGACTCGAGAATGTTGGACTCGGGAATGTTGAACTCGAGAATGTTGGACTCGAAAATGTTGGACACTCGAGAATGTTGGACACGAGAATTTCGGACACGAGAATGTTGGACTCGAGAATGTTGGACACGAGAATGTTGGACACGAGAATGTTGGACACGAGAATGTCGGACACGAGAGAATGTTGGACACTCATGAATGTTGGACTCGAGAATGTTGGACACGAGAATGTTGGACACGAGAATGTTGGACACGAGAATGTCGGACACGAGAGAATGTTGGACACTCATGAATGTTGGACTCGAGAATGTTGGACACGAGAATGTTGGACACTCAAGAATGTTGGACTTGAGAATGTTGGACTCGAGAATGTTGGACACGATAATGTTGGACTCGAGAATGTTGGACACGAGATTGTTGGACACGAGAATATTGGACACGAGAATATAGAACACGAGAATGTTGGACACGAGAATGTTGGACTCGAGAATGTTGGACTCGAGAATATTGGACTCAAGAATGTTGAACTCGAGAATGTTGGACTCGAAAATGTTGGACACTCGAGAATGTTGGACACGAGAATTTCGGACACGAGAATGTTGGACTCGAGAATGTTGGACACGAGAATGTTGGACACGAGAATGTTGGACACGAGAATGTCGGACACGAGAGAATGTTGGACACTCATGAATGTTGGACTCGAGAATGTTGGACACGAGAATGTTGGACACTCAAGAATGTTGGACTTGAGAATGTTGGACTCGAGAATGTTGGACACGATAATGTTGGACTCGAGAATGTTGGACACGAGATTGCTGGACACGAGAATATTGGACACGAGAATATAGAACACGGGAATGTTGGACACGAGAATGTTGGACTCGAGAATGTTGGACTCGAGAATGTTGGACTCGAGAATGTTGAACTCGAGAATGTTGGACACTCGAGAATGTTGGACACGAGAATTTTGGACACGAGAATGTTGGACTCGAGAATGTTGGACACGAGAATGTTGGACACGAGAATGTTGGACACGAGAGAATGTTGGACACTCAAGAATGTTGGACTCGAGAATGTTGGACTTGAGAATATTGGACGCGATAATGTTAGACACGAGAATGTTGGACACGAGAATGTTGGACACGAGAATGTTGGACACTCGAGAATGTTAGACTCGAGAATGTTGGACTTGAGAATATTGGACGCGATAATGTTAGACACGAGAATGTTGGACACGAGAATGTTGGACACGAGAATGTTGGACACTCGAGAATGTTAGACACTCGAGAATGTTGGACTCGAGAATGTTGGACTCGAGAATGTTGGACTCGAGAATGTTGAACATGAGAATGTTGGACACGAGAATTTTGGACACATGAGAATGTTGGACACGAGAATGTTGGACTCGAGAATGTTGGACTCGAAAATGTTGGTCACGAGAATGTTGGACACACGAAAATGTTGGACACGATAATGTTGGACTTGAGAATGTTGGACTCGAGAATGTTGGACTGGAGAATGTTGGACTCGAGAATGTTGGACTCGAGAATGTTGGACTCGAGAATGTTGGACACTCGAGAATGTTGGACACTCGAAAATGTTGGACACGAGAATGTTGAACACGAGAATGTTGGACACGAGAATGTTTGACTCGAGAATGTTGGAATCGAGAATGTAGGACTCGAAAATGTTGGACACGAGAATGTTGGACACGAAAATGTCGGACACATGAGAATGTTGGACACGAGAATGTTGGACTCGAGAATGTTGGACACGATAATGTTGGACTTGAGAATATTGGACTCGAGAATGTTGGACACGAGAATGTTGGACACGAGAATGTTGGACACGAGAATGTTGGACACTCGAGAATGTTGGACCCGAGAATGTTGGACTCGAGAATGTTGGACACGAGAATGTTGGACACGAGAATGTCGGACACATGAGAATGTTGGACACGAGAATGTTGGACTCGAAAATGTTGGACACGATAATGTTGGACTTGAGAATGTTGGACTGGAGAATGTTGGACTCGAGAATGTTGGACTCGAGAATGTTGGACTCGAGAATGTTGGACACTCGAGAATGTTGGACACTCGAGAATGTTGGACACTCGAAAATGTTAGACACGAGAATGTTGAACACGAGAATGTTGGACACGAGAATGTTTGACTCGAGAATGTTGGAATCGAGAATGTTGGACTCGAAAATGTTGGACACGAGAATGTTGGACACGAGAATGTTGGACACGAGAATATTGGACACGAGAATATTGGACACTCGAGAATGTTGGACACTCGAGAATATTGGACTCGAGAATGTTGGACTCGATAATGTTGGACTCGATAATGTTGGACTCGATAATATTGGACACGAGAATGTTGGACATGAGAATGTTGGACTTGAGACTGTTGGACACGAGAATGTTGGACTCGAAGAGGTTGGACTCGACAATGTTGGACACCAGAATGTTGGACTCTCGAGAATGTTGGACACGATAATGTTGGACACGATAATGTTGGACTCGATAATGTTGGACTCGAGAATGTTGGACTCGAGAATGTTGGACTCGAGAATGTTGGACTCGAGAATGTTGGACTCGAGAATGTTGGACTCGAGAATGTTGGACTCGAGAATGTTGGACACGAGAATGTTGGACACGAGAATGTTGGACACGAGAGAATGTTGGACACTCAAGAATGTTGGACTCGAGAATGTTGGACACGAGAATGTTGGACACTCAAGAATGTTGGACTTGAGAATGTTGGATTCGAGAATGTTGGACACGATAGTGTTGGACTCGAGAATGTTGGACACGAGATTGTTGGACACGAGAATATTGGACACGAGAATATTGGACACGAGAATGTTGGACACGAGAATGTTGGACTCGAGAATGTTGGACTCGAGAATGTTGGACTCGAGAATGTTGGACTCGAGAATGTTGAACTCGAGAATGTTGGACTCGAAAATGTTGGACACTCGAGAATGTTGGACACGAGAATTTTGGACACGAGAATGTTGGACACGAGAATGTTGGACACGAGAGAATGTTGGACTCGAGAATGTTGGACTCGAGAATGTTGGACACTCAAGAATGTTGGACTCGAGAATGTTGGACTTGAGAATATTGGACGCGAGAATGTTGGACACGAGAATGTTGGACACTCGAGATTGTTAGACTCGAGAATGTTGGACTCGAGAATAGTGAACACGAGAATGTTGGACACAAGAATGTTGGACACATGAGAATGTTGGACACGAGAATGTTGGACTCGAGAATGTTGGACACGAGAATGTTGGACACGAGAATGTTGGACTCGAAAATGTTGGACACGAGAATGTTGGACACACGAGAATGTTCGACACGATAATGTTGGACTTGAGAATGTTGGACTGGAGAATGTTGGACTCGAGAATGTTGGACTCGAGAATGTTGGACTCGAGAATGTTGGACACTCGAGAATGTTGGACACTCGAAAATGTTCGACACGAGAATGTTGAACATGAGAATGTTGGACACGAGAATGTTTGACTCGAGAATGTTGGAATCGAGAATGTTGAACACGAGAATGTTGGACACGAGAATGTTGGACACATGAGAATGTTGGACACGAGAATGTTGGACTCGAGAATGTTGGACACGAGAATGTTGGACACGAGAATGTTGGACTCGAAAATGTTGAACACGAGAATGTTGGACACACGAGAATGTTCGACACGATAACGTTGGTCTTGAGAATGTTGGACTGGAGAATGTTGGACTCGAGAATGTTGGACTCGAGAATGTTGGACTCGAGAATGTTGGACTCGAGAATGTTGGACTCGAGAATGTTGGACTCGAGAATGTTGAACTCGAGAATGTTGGACTCGAAAATGTTGGACACTCGAGAATGTTGGACACGGGAATTTCGGACACGAGAATGTTGGACTCGAGAATGTTGGACACGAGAATGTTGGACACACGAGAATGTTGGACACGATAATGTTGGACTTGAGAATGTTGGACTCGAGAATGTTGGACTCGAGAATGTTGGACTCGAGAATGGAGCCGAGGATGTTGGACACTCGAGAATGTTGGACTCGAGAATGTTGGACTCGAGAATGTTGGACTCGAGAATGTTGGACACGAGAATGTTGGACACGAGAATGTTGGACACACGAGAATGTTGGACACGATAATGTTGGACTTGCGAATGTTGGACTCGAGAATGTTGGACTCGAGAATGTTGGACACGAGAATGTTGGACACGAGAATGTTGGACTCGAAAATGTTGGTCACGAGAATGTTGGACACACGAGAATGTTGGACTCGAAAAAATTGGACACGAGAATGTTGGACTCGAGAATGTTGGACACGAGAATGTTGGACACGAAAATGTTGGACACGAGAATGTTGGACACGAGAATGTTGGACACGAGAATGTTGGACACGAGAATGCTGGATACGAGAATGTTGGACTCGAGAATGTTGGACTCGAGAATGTTGGACACTCGAGAATGTTGGACCCGAGAATGCTGGACCCGAGAATATTGGACACTCGATAATGTTGGACTCGAGAATGTTGGACTCGGGAATGTTGGACACGAGAATGTTGGACACGAGAATGTTGGACACATGAGAATGTTTGACACGAGAATGTTGGACTCGAGAATGTTGGACTCGATAATATTGGACACGAGAATGTTGGACACGAGAATATTTGGCACGAGAATATTGGACACTCGAGAATGTTGGACACTCGAGATTATTGGACTCGAGAATGTTGGACACGAGAATATTGGACACGAGAATATTGGACACTCGAGAATGTTGGACACTCGGGAATATTGGACTCGAGAATGTTGGACTCGAGAATGTTGGACTCGAGAATGTTGGACTCGAGAATGTTGGACACGAGAATGTTGGACACAAGAATGTTGGACTCGAGAATGTTGGACTCGAGAATGTTGGACACTCGAGAATGCTGGACTCGAGAATGCTGGACCCGAGAATGTTGGACACTCGATAATGTTGGACTCGAGAATGTTGGACTCGGGAATGTTGGACTCGAGAATGTGGGACATGAGAATGTTAGACACACGAGAATGTTGGACACGAGAATGTTGGACTTGAGAATGTTGGATTCGAGAATGTTGGACTCGACAATGTTGGACACTCAAGAATGTTGGACACTCGAAAATGTTGGACACGAGAATGTTGGACACGAGACTGTTGGACTCGAGAATGTTGGACTCGAGAATGTTGGACACGAGAATGTTGGACACGAGAATATTGGGCACGAGAATATTGGACACTCGAGAATGTTGGACACTCGAGAATATTGGACTCGAGAATGTTGGACACGAGAATATTGGACACGAGAATATTGGACACTCGAGAATGTTGGACACTCGGGAATATTGGATCCGAGAATGTTGGACTCGAGAATGTTGGACTCGAGAATGTTGGACTCGAGAATGTTGAACTCGAGAACGTTGGACTCGAGAATGTTGGACTCGAGATTGTTGGACTCGAGAATATTGGACACGAGAATGTTGGACTCGAGAATGTTGGACCCGAGAATGTTGGACATGATAATGTTGGACACGAGAAAATGTTGGACACTCGAGAATGTTGGACTCGAGAATGTTGGACTCGAGAATGTTGGACTCGAGAATGTTGGACACGAGAATGTTGGACACGAGAATGTTGGACAACAGAATGTTGGACACTCGAGAATGTTGGACTCGAGAATGTTGGACTCGAGAATGTTGGACACGAGAATGTTGGACACTAGAATGTTGGACACGAGAATGTTGGACACGAGAATGTTGGACTCGATAATGTTGGACTCGAGAATGTTGGACTCGAGAATGTTGGACACTCGAGAATGTTGGACACTCGAAAATGTTGGACTCGAGAATGTTGGACACTCGAAAATGTTGGACACGAGAATGTTGGACACAAGAATGTTGGACACGAGAATGTTGGACACGAGAATGTTGGACACTCTAGAATGTTGAACTCGAGAATGTTGGACACGAGAATGTTGGACACGAGAATGTTGGTCACGAGAATGTTGGACTCGAGAATGTTGGACACGAGAATGCTATGTTGGACTCGAGAATGTTGGACTCGAGAATGTTGGACACGAGAATGTTGGACACGAGAATGTTGGACTCGAGAATGTTGGACACTCGAGAATGTTGGACTCGAGAATGTTGGACACTCGAGAATGTTGGACTCGAGAATGTTGGACTCGAGAATGGAGCCGAGGATGTTGGACACTCGAGAATGTTGGACTCGAGAATGTTGGACTCGAGAATGTTGGACTCGAGAATGTTGGACACGATAATGTTGGACACACGAGAATGTTGGACACGAGAATGTTGGACTCGAGAATGTTGGACTCGAGAATGTTGGACTCGAGAATGTTGGACACTCGAGAATATTGGACACTCGAAAATGTTGGACACGAGAATGTTGGACACGAGAATGTTGGACAAGAGAATGTTGGACACTCGAGAATGTTGGACTCGAGAATGTTGGACTCGAGAATGTTGGACACGAGAATGTTGGACACTCGAGAATGTTGGACTCGAGAATGTTGGACACGAGAATGTTGGACACGAGAATGTTGGACTCGATAATGTTGGACTCGAGAATGTTGGACTCGAGAATGTTGGACACTCGAGAATGTTGGACACTCGAAAATGTTGGACTCGAGAATGTTGGACACTCGAAAATGTTGGACACGAGAATGTTGGACACAAGAATGTTGGACACGAGAATGTTGGACACGAGAATGTTGGACACTCTAGAATGTTGAACTCGAGAATGTTGGACACGAGAATGTTGGACACGAGAATGTTGGTCACGAGAATGTTGGACTCGAGAATGTTGGACACGAGAATGCTATGTTGGACTCGAGAATGTTGGACTCGAGAATGTTGGACACGAGAATGTTGGACACGAGAATGTTGGACTCGAGAATGTTGGACACTCGAGAATGTTGGACTCGAGAATGTTGGACACTCGAGAATGTTGGACTCGAGAATGTTGGACTCGAGAATGGAGCCGAGGATGTTGGACACTCGAGAATGTTGGACTCGAGAATGTTGGACTCGAGAATGTTGGACTCGAGAATGTTGGACACGATAATGTTGGACACACGAGAATGTTGGACACGAGAATGTTGGACTCGAGAATGTTGGACTCGAGAATGTTGGACTCGAGAATGTTGGACACTCGAGAATATTGGACACTCGAAAATGTTGGACACGAGAATGTTGGATACGAGAATGTTGGACACGAGAATGTTGGACACGAGAATGTTGGACTCGTGAATGTTGGACTCGAGAATGTTGGACACGAGAATGTTGGACACGAGAATGTACGACACGAGAATGTTGGACTCGAGAATGTTGGACACGAGAATGTTGGACTCGAAACCCCGAGAAAAAAATATCTCCAAGCTCATCAGCACAGCAGCGCGTACAAATTCCTACGCTTGCCTGTGCGAACAGATCTATCCAGCACAGCCTTATTCCCTCGCATACTCCTCCAGAAACTAGTAACGTAGCTTGAAGATACCAGTATCATCCTTCTCGCTGCGCCGCTTGCTTCTTTCACCGCTCCTTGAATCGCGTGCCATCATCTGCCAGACCTCCGGCATGGCGGCTACAGCATCGCGGGGCTCGTCCCCTTTCTCAACTTCGACGCATTGAAGAACTTCTCCGCCCTCACCCCCTCGATACAGTCACATCTGCAAAAAGTCTACCTGACGCTCTCGCTGACGCTGGTCGTCGCGTCGCTAGGCGCGTACGCGCACGTGCTGTGGGGGCTCGGCGGCGCGCTCTCGTCGATAGCGTCTATCGCGGGAGTGCTTTGGCTCAACGCCACTTCCGCCGTTCCCGCTAACGAGGTCCGCCCCCTCTCCGCCTCCTCCTCTCCTCGTCTGCGAGTCTCCTCTTCCACTATTTTTCTTCCTCCTTTACTAGCTCTAACTTTTCGTCGTGTCCGTAGGCATACCAAGTTAGTATATTGTTTAGGCGATGTTCTGACGACCCCCGCAATGCAAGCAAAGCGACGAAGATTTTCCGATGTGTAGCCAACCGTTTTTTTCTTCAAAAACTCCTTTCTTTGTCTTCCCGTCTCGTAACACCCTTTCCCACCTTTTCCCCGTCTCTCACTTCCCACGCGTTGCGGGGTCCTCGCGAATCTTTCGCTAGTCGTTTCGCTTTCGCCTGCTTCTCGCCATCGCCTTCTCGCACGGCTGCTCCATCGGCCCACTCGTCGATGCTGTTATTCAAATCATCCCCTGGTAGGTCTCCGGATATGGTAGCCTTAGGTCACCCTGGGTAGGAGAGTTTTACAACCAATTGTTTAACGTTTCTCATATTTACTAGTGTTTCAACCAAGTGTTAAACGCTTGGTATCCGGTAACCCTCAAACTGTCGCACAACTCCACTGAAGGTTGGCCCAGGTTGAAACGATTGGTTGGGAACCTACAAACTTGCTTGGCGGTATGCGCAGGGATGTGCCAAACCAATCATGCGATCGTGCACCCAGGTAGGTTTGGAAAACACACCTGCACGGCGACAACACGATCGCCCAAACTCCCAAACCTGCGACCAGGTTGTCGCACGAATCAAGCATGTATGTCAAGCGCAAGAGGTTCGGATGTGACCCAAACCTGCCCCTGAGCTCTTGTGTTGGCCTCAACACTTTGGAACTTCGCGCATGTATTTCCCCCGCTCGTCAAAAAACTCGTCACTCGTCAACCAATCAGGATCTTACTTTCCCAACCAAGTGTTAAACACTAGTAACGACGGGTGTAGCTCCACCTTGGGCGACGCTGCTGGCGCTGCTGCCGCTCCTGCAGCGCTTTCTGCGCCTGCCACTACTGATGCTGGAAGTCCGTAGTCCACCAAAACCGGGGTGGTGTCAATGGAAGGGTAAGCAAGAGGCGATGCGGCAAGAGTGGGCGAGAGGGGAGGAGCAGAGGGGGCCGTGTCTGCAGCAGCGCGGGGAGAGGGCATGGGGATAGGGGCAGACGAAGCAGTGGCAACCGGTGGCGGCTGGTACTGCCCTTCCTGCACCAAAACCGGCGCTGCTGCTGCTGCTGCGGGTGCTGCTGCGGGTGGTGCTGCTGAGGCAGTTGGAGGAGGAGGGGGGCGATCTGGGGCAGGAGATGCAGAAGCAGGACCCCAGCCACCGTAGCTATCTACATTGCTGCTCGACGACCCCCAATCCGAAGCACCAACACCAGCATCAGCACCGGTAACAGCACCAGCACCAGTGCCAGCACCAGCACCGTCGCCAACACTGCTTCCCATGGACCGATCACCGCTGCGAGATCCAGTCGACACACTCGCACCAACAGTGGCTGATGCTGCTGCTGCTGCAGCAGCAGCGGCAGCGGGAGAGAAGGGATGAGGGTGATTGGAAGTGGAGGGCCCAGAGTCCCAGCCACCATATGCTGTGGGAGGCGGGGGGGCAGCATCCCATCCACCCATGTCTGATCCAGCAGTGGCACTGGGACCGCTGCCAGCAGCTGACTGACAACTACTGTCTCGTTGACTCCCCTGCTGCTGCTGCTGTTTCGAGGGTGTCCGCACCTGGCGCTGTGGAAGGCGACGCGAGCATTAACCGCATGTATGTCAAGCGCAGAACCACCCATTGATTAGCCTAACCCAGTACAACCGTGGAAAGCACAATAGTAGGTTAACCGCCTGGTAACGCGCGGTTTTTCTTTTCTCGATTTCTCTCTGCCCATTCTACACCAACTCCCATCTCGTCCTCCTCCCTCTGTCCCTCCTCATCTCCCACCCTCGCCGTCCCCTTCCGCGCTGCCTGCATGCTCGTCGTTTCACTCCCCTGCTCTCCATCTCTGCATTTGCGCTCTTCGGCATCACTCTCCTCTCACTCTCCCCTCACCTCCCAGTCTGCTAGTCACAGCATTCGTCGCAACAGCAGCCATCTTCCTGTGATTCTCAGGAGTGGCGCTGCTGGCTAAGCGCAGGGAGTACCTCTACCTGGGGGGCTTCCTCGCCTCTGCCGTCTCCACCATGCTCGCCCTGCGCCTCACTAACAATCTTCTTTGGCGGCTCTAACGCTGTTTTCCAGATCGAGGTACGTCTGTGAGTAATGATGTTTCTGTGTGCCGATTCAGTGTCTCTGTGGAGTGTGACAAGAGTACCTCTACCCGGGGGGCTTCCCCTCCTCTGCTGTTTCCACCATGCCCTCCCTGCGCTTCGCCTCTATCTTCTTCGGCGGTTTCGATGTGTCGTTCAGTTCGAGGTACGTGTGTGTGTGCTCTCTCCGGTATACACAGACTTACGAATCTAATCACGTTGTAGCTGCTTCATTTCTGCATCATCTCGCACGTTTTCTCAAACCCCTCCCTCACTCCCTCTTCCACGCCCCTCTCATTGTCTGCCCCGTTCACCCCACCAGCTGTTCAGGGTCTCCTGGTGTTCGCAGGCCACATCATGTACGACACACAGGTGCTGCTGGAGAAGGCGGGTGTGCCTGCTGAAATCGCTCCCTTGCTACATATCTCACACGTTCTTTCAACCCCTTTCCCACCCCCTCTCCCACACCCTCTTCCACCTCCTCTTTCGCACAGCTGTACGACGCCCTCCTGGTGTTCGCCAGATAGATCATATACGACACACAGATGCTGGTGAAGAGAGTCAGTGTGCCTGCTTTTTCCACTAATATCCTCGTCCCATCTCCTCTCCCCGTCTGTCTCTTTTACCCCACCAGCTGTATGGAGGCCTCCTGTGTCAGAATATAATGCTTGTCTAGTCTGTAGTGGGGTACTCAATAGTGAGTATAACCCTGTTAGGGCTTGCTATTTGTACCTCCCTCCTTTCTAGTCAAACCCTCCTTTGCTCATTTCTCTCTTGCCTAGCTAGGTAAACCCTAGCTATGGCTCCTCATCATTCCTCATTCTTCACATGGTAACAGAGCTGTTACGCTCTTGGCCTGTGGGCCCACCTGCTTCCGCTGCTTTCCTGTTTGTCGTGCGCCCCGTGGCGCGCGACGCTGTTTTTCCTTCCCGCCACGCACTCGGGGCGCATGGCGGTTTTCTGCCCGCCGTGCGCCCCGAGGCGCGTGGCAGCTTCCTGCTTCACGCGTCCCCCCGGGGACCCGCGCGTCCCCCCCCCCCCGTCGACGGTCGCGTCGCCCCCCCTGGAGCCCGTCGCGTCGCCCCGCAACCTGCGCGCGGCCCTCGCTGCCTCGTCGCGACGCCCTGGGGAGCCGCTCGCGGCCCCCCACTGCCCCGTCGTGGTGCCCTGGGGAGCCGTGCGGGGCCCCTGCTATCCCGTCACGGCGCCCTGGGGAGCCGCGCGCGGCCCCTGCTGCCCCGTCGCGACGCCCTAAGGAGCCGCGCGCGACCCCCCGCTGCCCCGTCGCGGCGCCCTGGGGAGCCGCGCGCGGCCCCCCGCTGCCCCGTCGCAGCGCCCTGGGGGCCGCGCGCCGTCCCCCGAGCTGCTGCCCGCGCTCCTGCCCCGTGCTGCCCGTTTTAGGGTTTGGGGGTGGCGAGTGTGGGGGTGGCGGGTATGGGGGTGGCGGGTGTGTGCGTCTTCCCCTGCTCCTCCTCCTCCTCCGTCTCCCACTGCTGCAGCTGCCGCTGAGGGGGGTGGGTGTGTGGGAGCCGAAGGAGTGGTGCTAGGGGGGTGTCGTGGGAGTGAAACTAGGGGTGCAGCAGGGGGTGTGAAAGGGGTGTGGGACAGGTGGGGGTGGTTGAGTGGAGGTGGCCGCCGTGAAGCCAGCAGCTCCAGTCGCCTGTGAGACCATTGCGCCAGTTGCCCGTGAGCCCGTCGGGCTACATCATATACGACACACAGGTGGTGCTGGAGAGGGCGGTGCGGCTGCGTGCTACTCTCTCTCACTCCTTTCACCCACCTCTCCCTTTCACCCCACCAGCTGTACGGAGGCCTGCTGGTATTCGCTGGCTATATCATCTACGACACGCAGGTGCTGCTGGAGAGGGCGAGGCAGGGCCAGTGCGACCACGTGGTGGACGCCCTCGAGCTTCTTTTGGACTTTGTCGCCGTCTTCGTGCGCATCCTCTTCATCCTGGTATGTCTGTAACCAACCACCTTTGTTAACCACACCACACCGCGCCACACCCCATCGGCACCACATTCTATGCTGCACCTGCCACGGGGACGACGTGGGAGAGGGGGAGAAGCAGGGTCATTGCGACCACGTGGTGGACGCCCCGAGCTCCTGTCAGGCTTTGTCGCTGTCTTCGTGCGCATCCTCTTCATCCTGGTGAGTCTGCGTCTGCAACCTGTGTGCCATCCGCCACACTTCCACCACACCTGGTCACTGCCTGGATGCGGTAGTATACCACACACACCCCATCCCGTCCCGCCAATGCCACCACGTGGCTGATGCGCTCGAGCTGATGCTTGACTTTGTCGCTGTCTTCGTGCGCATCCTCTTCAAACTCCATATTAGTCGCTGACTAGAGTGTGCATGCCATGCCATCCAGTCATCTCAGGCCGCCCTCCTCATCAGCATGACGTGTCGTGTCGCCTGAGCTGCCTTAGTCCAGTGCTTATTGCTGAAGCACCCTCACTTGCTCACTCCCACCCCTCTCATCAGCTCATCATCTCTCATGCTATGCTGTGCCGTGCCGTGCTGTCTTGTGCTGTGCCATGTCATGCTGTGTCTATGCTTCTCTTGCTCTGTGTTGCTGCATGTGCTGGGCAGACAAGGAAGGAGGAGAGGGAGGAGGAGCAGCGGGCATCATCCAAGCGCAGAACTGCTGCCAGCACCTCTCGCCGTTAAGACTCTTTTGTCCTTAACTCAAAAGCCGCTGGCACTAATTACAGGAGTGTTCCCACCAATGCCAAACCTGCTGTTAGCTATGCAGAAATTTTCTTCTGCAGACGCGCACCAGTATCCATTGAAAGATTGTCGCTGTTCAGATCCATCTACAGAATTCCTATAGCATCTCTTACACTTTCAGTTCATTGTAACCTGGAATGGAAACAACAAGTGTAACACTACGGCATGAACTGCTGCTGATAACACAAGCTGCACTTGGCTCATCCCATACATGCTCCAGTCGCAACAAACCCACCCCATAATAACGAACCATCAACCGTTGCTGATTGCGACGCACATTCGCCCCATCCACTCTGTGTATACTCCAGCCGCAGCAGTGCATCGCGCCGCATTGATCAAACACAAGCCATGTCCTGATCTGCTCCCAGAGCTCGCAACGGACGACCGCAACCAGCGTAGCTTCTCCCCGAGCGACAGGCTGTGCGACGCTCCCGTCGGTGTCGCGTCGACCTAGGCCGACAACCGTCGCACGTCGCACCGTCGCCGCTTTTCATCCGCGATTCCGCCGCTCCGAGAGTCGACGCACAAGTCACCGCATTTCCGTTGCTCCCTGCCCGTGATCCCCCCCAGACCCAATCGAATGCTCCTCGCGTATTCTCTCCGCCGTCCCTTCCGCCATTCGCGCCTCCTACCGCGCGCTCTTCCTTTCCCTCCGCCGCTCACTCCCCATTCCCCTCCGTCGCCGCGTCCCCTGCTCCGCTCCCCGCTCTGCCCCTCCCTCCGCTGTTTACACTCGCGTGAGCTTTGGAGTCGACTCAATAATCGGCCTGAGCTAGCGACCTCTCCCCGACGGTGCTTGCCAGAGGAGCGACCTCTCCCCGACGGGTGGGCTGAGCGAGCCACCTCTCTCAGGCGATTCCGCCTCCCTGTCGCCCTCGCGTGCCTCTTTCAGCCGTTTCTCGCAATCGGGGCTTTAAACGGCGTTACGGCTGTTGGGACGCCGCATGGTGTGACTGTAACGGATGTTGGCGGGCTGCGGCGGAGCATGCGGATGGGGATTCATGTACCTGCAGGGATAAAGCCAGGTGTGACTGTAGTGAGTGCGAGAGGGAGTGCGAGAGGAGGGATTGTAAGAAAAGGGAGAGGGAAGAAAGGGAGTGTGAAAGAAGGGAATGTGAGAGAAGGGAATGTGATACAAGTGGGTGTGAGAGCGTGGAGAGCGGCAGAGGAAACGGTGATAACAAAGAGGGTGACTGTAGGGAGAGTGGCAGTATCAAGAAAAAACTCAACCGTAGAAGTAGTGGCAAAAGCAGAGGAATCAGAAGCAGCAGCAGGGGCAGCGGCGGCAGCGGCGCGACCAAGACAACGGCGACGAGGGAAGCCAAAACACGACAAGGAGAAAGACCCCGGGGAGCCAGAGCAAGCTGCCGAGGATGCTTATAACGAGGACGGCCCGCAGCCAGTGGTGATTCTGCTGGACTTTGAGACGACCGGGCAGGGCACCACGCAGAACCGCATAGTGGAGCTGGCGCTGAGGGACGTGGCGGGGGGCCGGGGGGCAGCGCTGCACACGCTGGTGAACCCGTTCCCGCGGGTCATTTCTGCCGACGCGGAGAGGGTTCATGGAATCAGCATGCGCATGGTCAACTGCCCCTCCGTTCCCCAGTGAGTCGTCCCCCTTTGAGTGCTGAGCGCTCTCCGGATGCGCAGGCAGTGCATGAATCAGCATGCGCATGGTCAACCGCCCGTCCGTGCCCCAGTGAGTGCCCCTTGTGAGTGTCGGGAGCTCCCTTGCCTGGCCTCCGCATGAGCATGAGCATGAGCATGAGCATGCCCACCCGCCCGCCCCTACGTCAGTGGTGACTGGGAGGTCCATGCCTGCCTTCTGCAGTGAGTAATGCAGTGTCAGTCAGGTGCATTCAGGGGCGCTCACTCACACCCATCTCCAAACCTTGACTCTCACTCATCCACCTGTACATATTCTCAGAGGTGCCGCGAAAGACCTTATGAGGCGTCTCAAACGACCCTTACTGTCACTCATTCATTCCTCCATTCTCTCTGCGCCCCACATCTCCCTCGCTCCTGACTTTGTTTCTCCCTCGTCACACGAATCGAATCGCCTCAGCTGGCGAGAAGCCGGGCGGCTGCTGGTGGACTTTGTGGAGGCCAGGCGGGCGGCGCAGGCAGAACAGGCAGCAGTCTCCGTACACAGCAGTGCTACCACTGGCGTCTACGTCAACACCGAGGGGGGTGCAGGGATGCGCATGGGGATTATGAGTACAGAGATGAGTGCTGTCTCCTCTGCTGCCCCCCTGCTCCCTCCGGTGGTGCTCCTGGCGCATAATGGCTGGTCGTTTGACTTCCCTCTGCTGCGTAACGAGCTGCAGCGGGTGGGGATTGCTGTGCCGCCCGGCTGGCACTCCCTCGACTCCATGCGCCTCGTCCAAAGGCTCTTCAAAGGTGCGCTTTAAGGTGTGTTTTGAGCCGCAGCGCGGTAACATCCCAGTGCTGCCCGGCCGACACTCCCTCGACTCCATGCGCCTCGTGCAGAGGCTGTTCAAAGGTGCGCTGCTTCCTTCTTGCATATCTCTCCCACTTCTCTTCGGAGAGACTCGCACCGCAAGCCAGCGAGCAAGGGGCTGAAATTCCTTTTCTCAACACGCCTTCGCTGCTCCACGCCCCTTCTTCACCCCTTCCTTTGCACTGCTTCCCCCACTCCCCTACCATCTCTTACATGGCCTCTCTCTCCCATCTCCCTGACAGACACGGATCGCAAGCCAGCAAGCAAGGCGCTGGGATTCCTCTTCTCAAAGCACTTCCGCTGCTCCACGCCCTTTGCCCACCCGGACCTGGCCCACCGAGCCATGGCAGATGTGGACAAACTGGCCGAGGTGCTGGCTGCTGTGATGTGGGAGCGAGGGGTTACTGTACAACAATTGTTACAGTACACTAAACCATTCTTATAATAATGTGTTGAAATCTGGAAAGCAAGACCAACAGAGCTATGGCAGATGCGGACAAACTGGCTGAGGTGTTGGCTGCCATGATTGATTGTAGCACAACGCTACCGTATGCACCGTTGAAATATGAACCAAGCCATATTTCAATCATAAGCCAGGTGGTTTTGGTTGAACACGAAGAATTTGCATGCGGTGGACAAGTCTGCGAAGGGCATTGCTGCCAGGATGTGGGAAAGAGGGGTTACTGTACCCGATAAGGGCATGTCGGTTTGCTCTGTCCTGATTGAAAATTGACTAGCGATGTACTAAGAGAAGCTTTTGTACACTGAGAGCTGCTGGTACAACACTATTATCCTACACTAGCTATATTGCTCCTACCACCACTGCTCATAGTCAGGCCACCAGTGTTTATGCCAGAACCATATTCACTGCCCTGTCCCGCTTGTAGGAGAGGTGTAGTCTCGTTTAAACTTGCTGCATCTACACTTTCACCAACAGCCCCTGCTGCTGTTGCCCCTGGTGCTATCACCCCTGCTGCTGCAACCCCATCACTTGTCCCTCCAACGCCCTCCTCTTCATCCTTTCCCTCACCTTCCCTCGCCCTCCTCTCCCTCTCCACAGCCCAACTATACAGTACCATCCCAGCCACAGCCAGGAGCATCCCTAGGAGCGTCTTAAGACTAAGGGGGTCTTTAAAGACCGCCCAGCCTAGAAGGAGTATGGCTACGGTCTTCATGTGGCCTAGGACCTGGAATGAAACCGCGGAGAACTTTCCTATGCAGAGGTAGACGCTGACTGTGGTGAGGAGGGCGAGGATGCAGGAGAGGAGAATCCACGCCTGGTGGTGGTGGTGTGCAGTGGGGGATGGGGGAGCAAGGATTACTCAGGCGCTCAAAAACCAGCTCAGAGGTAGACACTGGCTGTGGTGAGGTGGGCGCGCATGCAGGAGAGGAGAATCCAGGCCTGGTGGTGTGGTGTGCGGAGGAAGAGGGGGGAAGAGAGGGATGACGGGGAAAGGTGAGAAGGTAGCTGGGCCTTAGTGGGCGATCTACAGCAGTAGGTTAGGAAGCTTAGTGTGAAAACTGAATCTGGATGGAAATCGAGCTCATACGTGCTGCCTACTGGGGAATACACTTTGATTTAAGACAGGTTGTAGCACCTACAGTGGCATCAGCAGTCAGGGTGTAGTGAATGACGTTGTAGCCTGTAAGGAGGTAGTCTACAGCGGGTCCCAGCAGCAGCAGCGAGGCTGCTTGCAGAGGGGCGGTCTGAATGAGCAGGTCGAAGGAGCCCAGGGCATAGCGCTGCTGTAACTCGCCCACTGACTGCACCATAGGGAAAGGGTGGAGCAATGGGAGGGATGGCAGGGAGAGAAGTGACTTTGAGGTCTTAACAAAAGTCACTTTGCTTGCAGGGGAGCGGTCTGAATGAGCAGGTCGAATGAGCCCAGGGCATAGCGCTGTTGCAACTCTCCCACTGACTGCATGGTGGGGAGGGGGTGGGAGGGCAGGGAGAAAGACAGAGACAGCAGGGACGGCAGAAGGGTGAAATGCGTATGGAAGGAAAAGAAAGCAAACTAGCCAATGCACAATGAGCAACAGCGACAGGCATGTGACCTTTGACTTGTCCCACTAGCCAGCAGTCAGCCAGAGCTCAGAGAGCTGCTGCCATCCCACCGCTCTCTTCTCCCACAAGCTCTCTTACCACTGCTCTAATCAGAAACGCCTATCATTTTCTGTACCTACACTCACAATCTGTTGCAGGGATGTGGAGACAGCACCAGCAGCGGCGGTGACGAGTCCGAACGCGCTGACGGTGACGTCAGTGACCGTGCACACACCCACTCCCACCAGCACCACCAGCACCGCTGCCAGCGTGGGGGGCGAGTAGGCCTTGCCGTGTAGCAGCGCCTCAAACGCGCAGGTTAAAGGGATGATCGCCAGACGGCTGATCTGGTGGCCAGTGGAGGGGGGTGAAAGGGTCGTTCAGTCAATGATGAGCCGGTGAATCTGCTTCATTGCACTGCATACATCGGTGAAGGTACAGTAGATTAAGTGGGCGTGTTACTGTTAAGGGGCCTCAAAAAGGCATAGTAGCTTGAGTGCGTGTGGCGTGCACCTGGTAGAAGCCGACACCATTGGCGAGGAGGGCGAAGCTGGTGGTGACGACACACGCATTAGGGAGCGGCACGAAGTGACCCACCTCCCTTCAAGGTGCCTCAAAGGACATATCAGTGAGGGTATTGCGGGTGTTGCGCACCTGGTAGAACCCCACGGAGTTGGCGAGGAGGGCGAAGTTGGTGGTGACGACACACACGTTGGACAGCAGCGTGAAGCGCCCCACCTCCCACGCGGGCAGCGTGGGGACCGGGGCAGGGGGAGGCGCGGCGGAAGGGGGGATCAGAGAGGCGGAGGGGGAGAGGGGTGCGGGGGAGGAAAGGGAAGGGGAGGGGGAGGAGGGAGGGAGGAAGCGTGCGAGACAGAGGCAGAGCAGCCCGGCGAGAGTGGCGAAGGAGAGATGCAGGCCGCTCAGCGTGGTGGCTGGGATGGGGGGGGAGAAGGGAGAAATGGAGGGCGGTGGGGGAACGAGGCAGGAGGAGTGGGAGGAGGGGGGGCGTAGGAGGTAAGTCTGGAAGGGTGCGTGGCGGCGGAAAGCAAACGCGAACGACGGGCCTGAATGAATGAGCACTAATGACGGTGACTAATAACAGTGATGCTACTGACCGTAGACGAAGGAGTATCCGGTCATGACTTGCTTGTTGACGAGAATTATGGCCACCGAGCTGACCACGTTGAGAGTCCACGCCGTCGCCGACGACACGCGCGACGGATGGTTCAACATGTTTGATAATTCTAAGAAGCGACTCTGAAGTCTGAAGCCTAAGCCGTCGCGGACGACACGCGCGACGGATGGTTCATGATGGTGATCAATTCCGCCTGTAATAAACTCGGGTTGGATTCCGACAAGATCGGATCAGACGTCTGTTAAGAAATTGGACCGATCCACATTCACATATTCACTCGAGTATCGGTGTCCACGCGTCGACTGCTGTCATGGGCCTCGTGGTATGGATCTCACAGTTGAAGCTGGAACTCTGGCGAGCTGTTGTGCTGCCTGAGAGATTCACACTTCAAATCCAAATTTTTGTGTTCATCTATCCTCGTTTTGGAAAAATCCAAATTTCGTTTGCGTGTTGGCTGTGGTGAAAATCCTACCCAATTCCCAAGGAGGGTTGGTTGTACAGGTCAATAGAAAAACACTGAAGAGCTCAATTTCGAGATGGGTTAGACCTGGTTTTATATGTTACCGAGAGTTGCCGTGTGTTCCAGTACGGTGAAAGTTTCTTACAGCAATACGAGGAATAGCGTAACCATGAAGCTGCCGTACCCATCCCAATGCACATGGCTCCTAACCTGCGAACTCTCATTCTCAGGACCTCCTAGATTCTGTCGAATCGTTTCTTGCTCTGTCGCATCAAGCACCCAGACAGTGATACACATGGTTTCATAGTTGCCTAATCCTCTTTCATAGTTGGCTATTCTCCTTTTTACTATCCGACGATCGTCTGTTCCCATTACTGCGGCGTGTATCCTTCCAGACATCATGCCGTTACCCTCGAGAATTGTAGACCAGGCGTGAAGAAGTAGATCTTCTTTTCATCAAACAGCGATTTCGTGCGATGCGATCGCTACTGTTCGTTGCTTGAGCATCTTATTCCGTCCGAACGAGCTCAATGGAGGTCCTCAATGGACCTGCCGTTCAGGCGTCTGGTGTACCAATTTCCTGGACGCTTTATTTCCCTAGCGAGGAGTTCTCTCCCGAGGACAGACGAGCCGAGCTCATCAAATCGCTCATTGACGGATTCCTCACGGAGAAAGGCCAGCAGCTGCTGCAGCAGGTAGTACCTGAGGACATTTGTAGCAGCGGTAGGAGATTCCTGATGCAACAATAGACGATTTCGGACGTCAGTGGTGACTGACGTCTCCCTATGCAATGACTGACTGATATCCGTTACTCAGAACAGGTGGATGCATGACAATTACTTTTTGGATGATGAGACTGATAACAGGCACATTCTGATGCAGCGGTGTGCATCAACAGACTTTTCCTGATGCAGTGACTGACAGTTTCGGATGCAGTGGCAGCGATGACTGATAACCTGTCTGACATTTCTAATGCATTGACTGACATTTCTCGATGCTGCGACTGACAATCTCAGGTGCAATGGCAGCCTTGGCATGCATTTTTTATCTAACGGCCACAGCTCACCCTCACCGCATTCTCATTCCTTCCTCTCACCTGAAACAGGCCGACCGTAAGGAGCTGTCTCCGTTCTCTTGATGGACGGGCAGCATGGAGTCACTGAAGCAGCTCCTGCCAGGTGCTGCTGCCACTGAGGCGCGGTGCCTTCATTGACATGTTTTACCATACCTCATCCCTGCTTCCCACCTACCAAAACACAGGCCGATCCTAAGGAGCTGTCTCTGTTTTCAAGATGGACGGTCAGCATGGAGTCATTGAAGCAGCATCTGCAGCCTGCGTGCAGCGCTGGCCAGAGTGATCTGGGCGCAGCTGCGGAGTTGCTGCTTCAAGCGCTTGAAGCAGCGCCTGAGGAAGCACTGGCCTGCCTCGGTGCTGCTGCCACTGAGGTACGGTGCCTTCAGTAAGATGTTGGTTATTTCACACACTCGAAACAAGGTTGTGTGTCATTGCAGTTGTGGTCAGGTAGCCGTGCCGTATGGCTCCCTTCACCGGGAGAGGGTAGCAAAAGGATATTTTTTTGTGCTGCGCTGTATGTGTACTGTCCTTTCCGTTGCTGGTTTGCGGTTGGTGCCTTGCTGAGTAAGTCCTCCTTGACCGTGTTCGTTCTCATCACCCATGTACGTGCGCTGATGATTAGCTATACGATCAGCATCGCATGCTTCTCTTCCTCCACTGCCTCCCTCACACTGTCTCCCTCACACAGTCTCCCTCACACAGTCTCCTCCACTTGTTTCTCCCTCTGTGCTAGATGTTTCTCGAGATAGGCCTGCTCGAGGCCCCACCTTCCCCTTGTGAATTGTGTGTCCACTAACGGATTCGCCTCTCCCTACGTACCAGATGTTTCTGGAGAGAGGCCTGATCGAGGCCCCAGCCCTTCCCTCTGCGTCAGCATGTGCCTCACAGCACGCCTCCTCTCGCCTGGCTGTGAGGCTGGTGGACCACACTGACTCAGTCATCGAGTTCAAGAAGCTCAAAGCCAGCAGCCTCGGTGAGTCTATTATTTCAGCAGACTCGGTAGCAATCGTGTACATCTGGTTGTCGTTGCGCCTGGCTGTGAGGCTGTTGGATCACTCCAACTCGATTATTGAATTCAAGAAGCTCAAAGCCAGCAGCCTTGGTGAGAGCATTCAGCAGACTCACCTACTGTCTATGTCAGACGCATTTGTATCAGTTTGTATACATGGTGGTTAGGGCTTTAGCTGCGAAGATCTGTAGCTTACACCATCTTGGTTTTCGGTTGTTTGTTTTGCAACCAACGATTCTGCATCTTTATCGCCTTGCTTGGTTGCCTGTGGAAATGTGGGAGTTCCTCCACAAGGTGGATAATTTACTTGAAAGTTCACTTCTCCTCACTGTTGTCACCCGTCCCTCTCCTTTCCTCTCCTCTCCTCCCCTCCCATCCCCTCTTTCTTTCACGCAGATCGGCTGGTGACAGTGTGTGGGACGGTGGTGCGGGTGGGTCCACTGCGGCCTCTAGTGGTGGCAATGGATTTCACCTGCACTCGCTGCGGCGCCATCACCTCGCTCTCCTTCCCTGACGGCCGTTTCACCCAGCCTACTGCTTGCGGTCATGACAACTGCCGCAACCGCACCTTCTTGCAAAACCGGGCAGGTGCCCGGAAAATAAACTTTAGACAATACGGTGAGTGGGGCGTGTTTGCCACAAACCATTGCGGCTTTGTCCACAATTCCAACCCTGCTGGACCATGGACCATGAAAAGTGTCTGCATTCCCGTTCCTCTGCACTCGCCCTCTAGCTCAATTCTCTGGCATCTCAGACACATTCCGTTGATATTTATCTCATATATATATATGTATATATATGTATATATATGTATATATCTGTATATATTTATTTTCTTCCGAGATGCAGTCTAAAGGAGCTAACAGGGGGGATGGCTCAGGGAGGACCTGGAGGATGCTTGTCTGTCTCACACGCGCCGTTACAATGTTCGTACCATTTTCTCCCGTTTCTCTCCTGTGTTTTTCCTCCGAGGTGCAGTCTTCAGGAGCTGACAGGCGGCACGGGAGGGGGAGAGGACATGGGGAGGATGCCACGGGTGGTTGACTGCGAGCTGAGGGAGGACCTGGCGGATGCGTGCCTGCCGGGGGACGTGGTGGCAGTGTGTGGGATTGTCAAGATCATCAACAACGAGACGGACGTGGGAGGAGGTGAGGGGATATGAGTGGAAGGTAGGTATTGTATTTTCTTAAAGTTCTGTGTGTGCTGGGGGACGTGGTGGCGGTGTGTGGCATTGTCAAGATCATCAATAATGAGACGGACATGGGAGGAGGTGAGGGGCGGGATAGGAGGAGTGGGAAGTGGGTTCTGAGTTGGCTCAAAGGCATGTGTCTGCTTGGGGGACGTGGTGGCGGTGTGTGAGATTGTCATCATCAACAGCGAACTGGATGTGGGGGGAGGTGAGGGGTTGGGAGGAATGGGAAGTGTTGAGCTACTAGATAGAAATTATTGCTAGTGAAACAGAAGTCATGCGTTTTTCTCCAGCCATGTGCTTTTCTATAGAGCACCAAGGCATACACACGTGTGCATGGCATGCGCCCCTCCCATGCATGGCAGGGCGGTCCAAGAAGCGGGGACAATGCCTCTTCCAGCTCTACATAGACGCCATCTCCGTTGTCAATGAGTTTTGAGGCACCTCACAAGCCACACTCTCAAACACACACACACACACATGCGCTTGTGCATCCACGTGCCCCTCTATTTCAGGGCGGTCCAAGAAGAGAGAACAATGCCTTTTCCAGCTCTACATTGATGCCATCTCTGTCGTCAACGCCAACTCCCAGTCACTACCCCAAGCGCCGCCGCCACCACTGCTGCAACTGCCACCCCTGCTCTCCGCTCTCCTCCCTCTGCGGGTGGTGCGAGTGGAGGGGCGGTGGAGCTGGGCGAGGAGGACCTGAGGGGCATATTGGAGTATGTGGTGGAGCATGAGGGCGAGGGCGACCTGTTTCAGCACATCGTGCACTCCTTCTGCCCCTCCATCTACGGCCATGTGCTTGTTAAAGGTGAGCTGACTCTCTGGGCGACTGTTGAGTTTACTCAAAAGGCATGTTGGAGTATGCTGTGTTGAAGCTGGGGGAGGAGGACATGAGGAGCATACTGGAGTATGTGGGGGAGCATGAGGGCGAGGGCGACCTGTTTCAGCACATCGTGCACTCCTTCTGCCCTTCCATCTACGGCCATGTGCTCGTTAAAGGTGCGATTACTTGCCTGCTCTTCGCTCTCCGTCGTGTGCTGCTATTGGTGCGAGTGGAAGGGCGGTGGAAAGCTGGGGGAGGAGGACATGAGGAAGAAGGTGATCTGTTACAGCACATCGTGCACTCCTTCTGCCATTCCGTCTACGGCCATGCGCAGGTCAAGGTTGGATTGACTTTCTGAACCCTGTTAGTCACTCAACTTGATCATTCCGTCTACGGCCATTACCATTACCATTACTATTACCATCACCATTACTATTACCATTACCATTACCATTACCACTATCATTCCAACTACTATTACCATTACTACTACCACTACCATTATCATTACCATTACCACTTCCATTATCATTACCATTATCATTACCATTACCATTACCATTACTACTACTATTACCATTACCACTATCATTACCATTACCATTACCATTACCATTACCACTACAATTACCATTACCATTACCATTACCATTACCATTACCATTACCACTACCATTACCATTATCATTATTATTACCATTATCATTACCACTGCCATTACTATTACCATTACTATTACCATTGCCATTACCATTACCACTACCATTACCATTATTATTACAATTACCATTACCAATCATAACCATTGCATTGCCATTACCATTTCCATTACTATTACAACTATCATTACAATTATCATTACCATTACCACTACCATTACCATTACCATTATTACCATTACCATTACTTTTACCTTAACTTTTAGCACTACCATTACCATTACTATTACCATTACCATTACCACTACCATTACCATTACCACCATTCCGTCTACGGCCATGTGCAGGACAAAGAAGGTGATCTGTGTCAGCACATCGTGCACTCCTTCTGCCATTTCGTCTACGGCCACGCCTTGTTTCTCCGTGGTACAGTGGCACCTGCAGTTGCTTCCCTCTTCCTCCCTGCTTCCGTCTCCCCTGTCTCTCTCACTCGCAGCGGGCATTATACTGTCGCTCTTTGGAGGTGTGCGCAAGCATGAAGGGGATGCCAACCGCGTGCCAGTCAGGGGCGATGTGCACGCGCTGCTAGTGGGTAAGTGCTTATGTTGGTGTATGGGAAGGTTTGTCACCCCCCGCCTTTTCGCCACCCCCTTCCCAGCATCCCCCTTCTTGCCAACCCAAGCATGGCATGGGAAAGTGTGTCAACTGTAAAGGGTGACTGCAATCCGGTCATTAGGTGGAGAAACAAGCATAGTCAGTGTCCATGTCCCCACACATTTTATCCTGTGGTTCTTTAATCACTCGTGCCATCCAGGCGACCCAGGCATGGGGTGATTAAGCCAGCAGCAGCAGAAGCGGTGATAAAAAAAGTTGACCCACTAGCCACCTAAACCTAATCAAGCTTCTCGTTTCTCTCACTCACTTGTACCGTCCAGGAGATCCAGGCATGGGCAAGAGCCAGCTGCTCAAAGCAGCAGCAGCGGTGGCACCTCGTGGGGTGTATGTGTGTGGCTCTGGCGCCTCCTCTGTGGGGCTCACAGTGGCCGTGGTGAAGGACGGGCCTGGTGGGGAGTACGCATTCGAAGCAGGTTGGTGGTGGGTTAGGAAATGCGGGGGAGCGAGGAATGGGTGCAGAAGCGATCGCATCTTGCAGGGTGGTCTAGTGCTTCCTCTGTGGGGCTCACAGTTGCCGTGGTCAAGGATGGGCCTGGAGGGGAGTACGCCTTTGAAGCAGGTTGGTGGTGGGAGGGTAAGAAGGGCGAGCGGGAGGGGATGGGTGCTGCAGTGCCTGTGGCGCCTCGTGGGGTGTACGTGTGTGGGTCTGGCGCCTCTTCTGTGGGTCTCACAGTGGCAGTGGTCAAGGACGGGCCTGGCGGGGAGTACGCATTCGAAGCAGGTTGGTGGTGGGGTGGGATAGGAGATGGGGTGGGGAGGGTTTGTGCACCTGTCACAGTTCTCTTGGGGTGCACTGTGGCTCGAGTGGCTCCTGTGTGGGGCTCACAGGGGCAGTGGTCAATAATGGGCCTGGTGGAGAGTACTCCTTTGAAGCAGATTGGTGGTGGGTTAGGAAATGCGGGGGAGCGAGGAATGGGTGCAGAAGCGATGGCATCGTGCAGGGTGGTCTAGTGCCTCCTGTGTGGGGCTCACAGGGGCAGTGGTCAGTAATGGCCTGGTGGAGAGTACGCCTTTGAAGCAGATTGGTTGGTGGTAGTTAGGAAGGGCGCGCAAGGGGGAATGGGCGCAGTAGTTGTGCGTTGTCGGGTGTAGTGCATCGTAAAATTATTAAGGGTTTAGGGGCGGCCTGGCAACCTTCGTGTTTGCTGTTGCATTTCCCGTTGGGCACATGCTGCATTGATGAAGGTGACTCTTCCCCGATGCCAGAAGAGCTCTCTCATTATCTCCCTCTCTCACGTCATCCCCTCCTCTCCATCTCGCATCACAGGAGCAACGGTGATGTCGAACCAGACCAGGGCACTGCTGCATTGACGAAATGTGAAGCACTTGATGCTTGGCGCTTGATGCTTGGCGCTGGGACGGCACCCTTACTCTCTTCCCCTGTCGTCCTCTCCCGTTGCTATCCCCTGCAGGAGCAATGGTGATGGCGGATCAGGGCACATGCTGCATTGACGAGTTGACTGTTCAAGACTCTTGAAACCACCACCGCTCACTCGCTCTCCCACTCGTCCCTTCACGTTGCATCATTCACAGGAGCAATGGTGATGGCGGATCAGGGCACGTGCTGCATTGACGAGTTTGATAAGATGGGCAACGAGCAACAGGTGGGCGAGTTGTGGGTAGCATGCTATGGGGAGGTATGCTGGAACGCCGTGAGCAATAAGAGAATCGATGGAGTGTGCAATGATACGCATCTCTTCCTCCTGCGCCTCTTGGCTTTCCACATGTCTCATTCCACTCCCTCCCACCCACCCAGCTCCGCTTCTCCCTCCTTCCCCAACTCTCCCCACTAAGAGCCATGGCGCCGCAGAGCGTGACTGCGCTCAAGGCTGCTCTCACAGCTATACCCTCTTCATCTATGCTTTGCTCTTTCCATCCTCACCCCCCACGCCCTCTGTCTAAGCACCGTTGGAAGCAATGGAGCAGAAGAGCGTGAGTGTGTGTGTGGCCAATGCTTCGTTTACGTCCTCACCCCCTCCAGCTTTACTTGGCTCTTTCATTTCCTCTTCCTCGGCCCGCTCCCTCCCCCAGGCGCTATTGGAGGCCATGGAGCAGCAGAGCGTGGGTGTGGCCAAGGCAGGTCTCACATCTGCACCCTCGTCATCTCTACTTTGCTCTTTCCCACCTCGCCCTCTCGCTCCCCTGCTTCCCCCTCTTCCAGGCGCTATTGGAGGCCATGGAGCAGCAGAGCGTGGGTGTGGCCAAGGCAGGTCTCACATCTGCACCCTCGTCATCTCTACTTTGCTCTTTCCCACCTCGCCCTCTCGCTCCCCTGCTTCCCCCTCTTCCAGGCGCTATTGGAGGCCATGGAGCAGCAGAGCGTGGGTGTGGCCAAGGCAGGTCTCACATCTGCACCCTCGTCATCTCTACTTTGCTCTTTCCCACCTCGCCCTCTCGCTCCCCTGCTTCCCCCTCTTCCAGGCGCTATTGGAGGCCATGGAGCAGCAGAGCGTGGGTGTGGCCAAGGCAGGTCTCACATCTGCACCCTCGTCATCTCTACTTTGCTCTTTCCCACCTCGCCCTCTCGCTCCCCTGCTTCCCCCTCTTCCAGGCGCTATTGGAGGCCATGGAGCAGCAGAGCGTGGGTGTGGCCAAGGCAGGTCTCACATCTGCACCCTCGTCATCTCTACTTTGCTCTTTCCCACCTCGCCCTCTCGCTCCCCTGCTTCCCCCTCTTCCAGGCGCTATTGGAGGCCATGGAGCAGCAGAGCGTGGGTGTGGCCAAGGCAGGTCTCACATCTGCACCCTCGTCATCTCTACTTTGCTCTTTCCCACCTCGCCCTCTCGCTCCCCTGCTTCCCCCTCTTCCAGGCGCTATTGGAGGCCATGGAGCAGCAGAGCGTGGGTGTGGCCAAGGCAGGTCTCACATCTGCACCCTCGTCATCTCTACTTTGCTCTTTCCCACCTCGCCCTCTCGCTCCCCTGCTTCCCCCTCTTCCAGGCGCTATTGGAGGCCATGGAGCAGCAGAGCGTGAGTGTGGCCAAGGCAGGACTGCTGGCAAACTTCAGTGCGCGCACTGCAGTGCTGGCTGCTGCTAACCCCGTTGGTGGGCATTACAAGTGAGCGCCAAGAACCGAGGAACGAGCTGTCAGCCTCGTGTTCTGCAACCAAAGTTTTGTTATTTCACAGGTCCCAGCCATGGTGTTCTCTCTCCGTTCCCCCCATAACGGATCGCTCCTTCTTCCTCTCTTTCTGTTTCTCTTCTTGACGTGTTTCCTTCATGTCCGCCTGATCTCTCATTGTTCCGCTACTTCCTTTCCCCACCCTCTCTTTTCCATACTGGCATCTCCCTTCCCCTCCCATCCTCTCCCATCTTCTCCCATCCCCTTCTCACACCAGTCGAGCGCGCACGCTGAATGAGAACCTGAAGGTGTCTGCCTCCCTGCTGTCACGATTCGATTTGATCTTCATACTCCTGGCCCATCCCTTCGCCCCCCTTGCCCTCCCATCCTCTCCCATTTCCCCTGCGTGCCAGTCGAGCGCGCACACTAAACGAGAATCTGAAGCTGTCTGCCGCTCTGCTGTCAAGATTCGATTTGATCTTCATTCTCCTGGACCGCCCAGACCACCACACGGACCAACGTCTGTCAGAGCACGTGCTACAGGTGAGAAGTATCTGAAGCTATCTGCCGCCCTGCTGCCTAGATTCGATCTGATCTTCATTCTCCTGGATTCTCCTAGACCGCCAGACAGACCAGCGTCTATTGGAGCACGTGCTACAGGTGAGAGGCTGGAGAAGCATGCGGGTGGGTTGTGGCATGTGGTTTACGTATCTGGTGAGGTATGTGGTGTTAATATCTGGTAGAGGTGTATATTCTAATGCCATTGAACGTTGGGGGTAAGCGTATATGGGCTAGAGCCATGTGGTAGAGCTTCCAGGCGAGAGTTCCCTTCACCAGCCTTTCATTTCCTTCAACCTGTTGCCTGTGCTTGCTTGCTGCAGATGCATGCGGGCATGCCGTCTCGGTCCAAGGCGTCCAAGCGCTGCTGTAAGTCCTTCTCAGCCCCGCACTGCCTTTTTAGTTGACTCTCAACGTCACCTCGTTAGACACAGATGCATGCAGGCATGCCATCTCGCTCCAAGGCATCCAAACGCAGCTGTAAGTCGTCCCCACACAGCCTGCCACACTGCCTGCCACACTGCCTGCCACACTGCCTGCCACACTGCCTGCCACACTGCCTGCCACACTGCCTGCCACACTGCCTGCCACACTGCCTGCCACACTGCCTGCCACACTGCCTGCCACACTGCCTGCCACACTACATGCATGTATGTGGGGCACCTGTGTTGCCTGGGTGTCCCGCAGATGCATGTAGGCGTTCCATCTCGCTCCACGCCATCCAAAAGCAGCTTTCTGCTACACTGCCTGCCGCACTATCTCCTCCTCTCGTACCATTTTTGTCTCGTCCACTCTCCATTCAGACTATAACTCCCTTGATCACCTTTTCAGCAAGTAATGGCACTCACATCTCGAACTTCCCCTCTCAGTCAACAACCCCCCCTCTCTCATCCCATCCCATCTCACCATCTCATCTTCACATTTCAATATCCCCCCCCAACTCTCACACCCCCACCTTCACCGCATCGCACCCCACCATCCCATCTCTTCCTGACAGCCCCATCAGGCATGGACGGCCATGCATCCGACCTCGACCTCTCTTTCTCCCTCCCATCTTTATTGACACACCCCCGCATCCCACCCCGTCAAACCGCATCCCACCCCACCAGCTCATCTCTTCCTCACGGCCCCATCAGCCACGGACGGCCATGCATCGCACCTCGACCTCCCTCTCTCGCACCGCCTCAACTTTCCTCTCTTCGTTCACCCCCCTCGCTCCCTCCCATTCCACCCCACCAGCTCATCTCTTCCTAACAACCCCATCAGCCACGGACGGCCATGCATCGCACCTCGACCTCTCTCTCTCCGTCCCATCTTTATTGACACACCCCCCCATCCCACCCCCTCAAACCGCATCCCACCCCACCAGCCCATCTCTTCCTCACGGCCCCATCAGCCACGGACGGCCATGCATCGCACCTCGACCTGCCCCTCTCCCACCGCCTCCGCCTGCGCTCCTCTGCTGCCCGCAACTTCTCCCCCCTCTCTCCTGCTCGCCTGCGCCAGTACATTGCATATGCCCGCACGCATGTGCACCCCAGGTGCGGCGTTGCATTCTCGTTAGCGGTGTGTGACCCTATTGAGCCTTGAAGCGTCTCAGTCCCACTTCTTCGCATGCACTCCTCTGCTGCGCGCACTTTCTCCCCCCTCCCCCCTGCTCGCCTGCGCCAGTACATTGCCTATGCCCGCACGCACGTGCACCCCAGGTGCGTCCACCCACCTATTACATGCTGAGACTTCTCCTCCTTTTCCCCTGCTCGCCTGCGCCAGTACCTCGCACACACGCGCACCCCAGGTGCGTTGTGTTCTCACTCGCGGTGTCTGCCCCCTGTTGTGTCTTGAAGCGTCTCACTCACACCTGCACCTCCCTCTCTCCCAACGTTTCCACCCGCGTTTCTCTGCTGCTCGATACTTCTCCCCTTTCCCCCTCCCTCCTGCTCGCCTGCGCCAATACATTGCTTATGCTCGCACTTAGTTCCCCCAGGTGCATCCCACCATAGTACCTCAGACTTCTCCCTCTCTCACCTGTCCACCTACGGAGGCGCGGGCAGTGATCAAGGCGTTCTACCTGCGGCTGAGGGAGCACAGCCGAGCCATGGGCAGCTCTTCAATCCCGCCCTTTTTGCCGCTCCCTTCACAGGCTCTCAGAGGAAGCACGGGCAGTGATTAAGGCGTTCTACCTGCGGCTAAGAGAGCACTGCCGTGCCATGGACGGCTCTACAGTCCGTCCACCCTGTATCATTTGTTTTGCTCACTGCAATCCCACCCTTGTTCTCCCTTGCTCTGCAGGCTCTCAGGGGAGGCGCGGGCAGTGATCAAGGCGTTCTACCTGCGACTGAGAGAACACAGCGGCGATCCAACCCTTGTTGTCTTCCCCTGCAATCCCACTGTCACCCTGTTTGCCACCCATTACAGGCTGTCAGAGGAGGCGCGGGCAGTGATCAAGGCGTTCTACCTGCGACTGAGAGAACACAGCGGCGATCCAACCCTTGTTGTCTTCCCCTGAAATCCCACTGTCACCCTGTTTGCCACCCATTACAGGCTGTCAGAGGAGGCACGGGCAGTGATCAAAACGTTCTACCTGCGATTGCGGGGGCACAGCTGCGCTCCCACCCTATTTCTCTCCCGTTACAACCCAACTTTTACCTCATTTTGCCACCCGCTGCACAGACTGTCAGAGGAGGCGTGTGCAGTAATCAAGGCGTTCTATTCTACCTGCGCCTGAGGGAGGACATTCAACTTTTACCCCTTTTTGTCTTCCGCTAAAGGCTGTCAGAGGAGGCGCGTGCAGTGATCAAGGCGTTCTACCTGCGGTTGTGGGAGCACAGCCGAGCCATAGACAGCCCACCAATCACACCCTGTACCAACGTTTCGCTCGCTGCAATCCCACCCTTTGCTGCACAGGCTGTCAGAGGAGGCGCGGGCAGTAATCAAGGCGTTCTACCTGCGGTTGAGGGAGCACCACCGCGTTTCCACCCTTGTTGTCCCCTTCTGCAATCCGATTTACTTCTTGCTGCCGTGCGTTTCCTACAGGCTCTCAGAGGAGGCGCGTGCAGTGATCAAGGCGTTCTATTTGCGGCTGAGGGAGCACAGCCGCGCCATGGACGGCCCTCCAATCACAGCGCGCCAGCTGGAGAGCCTCGTCCGGCTTGCCGAGGCTCGGGCCCGTGTGGAGCTGCGGGAGGAAGTTACCGAGGCTGATGCCCAGGTACGGGATGGTTCGGTGTTTGGGTGGAATGTGTTGCACTGTGCTTCACCACACACAACTCCTCTCCCACCCTATCCTTCTCACCCCCACCCCTTCCCCTTCTCCCTCTTCCCCCCATTACCAGGAGGCAGTGGTTGTGATGGGGGAACGCTTGCTACACAAGCTGACTTACAAGGCAATTACGTCCCACCGCCGCCATCCCCCTGCCCCTCACCCCTGGTCCATCCTCCCAACACTACGAGGAGGCAGTGGAAGTGATGGGGGGGTGCCTGCTATCTAAGCTGACTCATGAGGCGGCCACATCCCACCCACCCCTCTCCACCCCTTCTCCACCCCTCTTCCCTGTGCCACCAGGAGGCAGTGGAGCTGATGGGGGAGTGCTTGTTAGACAAGCTCACAGACGAGGCGGGCAACATAGACATGTAATGATTCGGGCTCTTCACTCATACATTCTGCTCTATCCTTCACACCTCATTATTCTCCCTTCTCCCTTTTCCCTGTGCCACCAGGAGGCAGTGGAGCTGATGGGGGAGTGCTTGCTGGACAAGCTAACAGACGAGGCGGGCAACATTGACGCGGGGCGGGGCGGCAGCTCGAGCAAGTCAAAGGAGTCAAAGCGGTTCCTTGCCGCCCTGCAACGCACGGCTAAGCAGGCAATCAAAACGTGCTTCTCAAGGAAGGTCTGTCTTGGCTTTCAACATTTGAGTCAACTCACATGACTACTCACCACAAAAGTCACCTCGAGCAAGTCAAAGGAGTCAAAGCGGTTCCTGGCTGCGCTGCAGCGCACTGCCAAGCAGGCCATCAAAACGTGCTTCTCAAGGAAGGTCTGTCCTGACTTTGAAATTCTACTTTACTCTTACCACCACTCACATCACCACTCACATCACAAGTCACCTCGAGCAAGTCAAAGTAGTCAAAGCGGTTCCTGGCAGCCCTGCAGCGCACCGACAAGCAGGCCATCAAGACATGCTTCTCCAGGAAGGTTTGTTTCAAGTATCACCTCAAGGGATTATATGGGGTCAAAGCAGTTCCTTCGCCCTCATGCCGTGCCTTCATACTTCCCCGACTCTCCCTGTGCCTGTCAGAAGCTGGCCCAGTTAACGAACGACATGTGTCTCAGAGTGCCGGACCTCGAAGCGCTCATACCGTGCCTCATGGTCTTCTTCCATACCCCCATTGCCCAACTTCCGCATCCCCAATGCCTGGCAGGAGCTGGCCCAGTTAGCGGATGACATGTGTCTGAGAGTGCCGGATCTTGATGCACTGATTGACAGCCTGAATGAAGCGGGCTTCCTGCTGAAGAAGGGTGGAGGGCTCTTCCAGGTACGAGTCACCCTCATCACTCTTGAGTCGGCTCATTAGTCAGCTTTCTGAGTTTGTTGGTTATTGATGAGCTGATTGACAGCCTCAATGAAGCGGGCTTTCTGCTCAAGAAGGGAGGAGGACTCTTCCAGGTACGACGAGTCACTCTCATCTCTCCATTGAAGTTCAGGGTTGTCGTTGTGGAGACAGACACATACGGGATGTGTGACTTGTGTGACTGATCGATCGTTGTTGCATGCTCAGCTTCTTGTTATGCTCCGTGGGAGCTCCTGATGGTTGTTGATGCCTGTTTTGCATTGCCGTCTGTGCTTCCAGGTGCAAACATGATGTGCAGTATGAGACATGAAGTGCAGCATGAAAGCCTGTCCTGTATATATGTGAATGCAGCTGAGTGGCATTAAAGCTTCAGTTTGCATTTGTCTTTGGGGTCAGACGTGTTGGGGTGTGCGAAAAGCATGTTGACATCATTGAATGGAAAGTGTGACTTACGGCTGTGGCAATCTTCAGTTGTCAGGCAGAATCTGATGTGATGTCGTCTGGCAAATCAATTACTGTTGTACATCACATCGGACGCAAGCAAGCATCCACCTGGGACTAATCATCCAACTGAATTGTTCTGCATTGGAGGCCACAACACAACACTATGCTCAGACGATAAACAGTAGCCTTTCCCCACATTGCAATTGTGATTCAAACCATGAATATTGCCCTCATGGTACCAGTGGGTTCAGTGACAATGGCAAGCTGAACATGTCGGAGCACACGAAGTGATTCTCGTGATGTCTATGGCACAGGGCAGGAGTGAGACTACGGTATCAGAACGTCCTGGAACATCACGTCACTATGCGAGCTAGTGCCCTGCCCACTCCCCCTCCTTCCCTAACCATAGGGTATCAAATCAACCTCCTCCTCTCCCCATTCATATTGTGAACAGCAAGTGAAAGCTTTAATATTTAATGGTTGAAGGCTCTAGAGCCCAAAAAAAAAAGGAGACAATTCGTGGTGGCCTAAATGCATACAAATAACATAAGCTTCCCCAAATATTCCCTTTTTACGAGGTCAGAGCCTTCACCAGCTCCTGCTTGGTGTTACCGCGGATACCCCTTTGGGCGGCAATGGCGCGCAGCTGCGCGAGCGACTTCGTGGCGAGGACACTCGCGCTGGGGAGGGACGGCGCGGAGGATGACACGGGAGCGGAGTAGGACGGGGTGGAGGACGAGTACGAGGACGAGGCCACAGCGCTGCCGTTGGTGTAGGAAGCGGCGGCAGCAGCCTTGGGGGCGGCGGAGCCACTGCAATAGATAAGGGGACACGTCAGTAAAAAGCACATTGTTCACCGTCCGAAGGCTTTGGTAGCAATACAAGCTTTAAGTTCGTGTTTGGATTAAGGGATTATAAGAGAGTGTACTTACGTCAGGAGCTTGATGAGCTCCTTGCGGGTGTCTCCGCGCACTCCCCGCGCCTTAGCGAGCGCGCGCAGCTCGCTCAACGCGAGGCTCTCTAGCTGGCCGACAATCTCGGGCTTGTCCTGCGCGAAACCCTGGACCGCGGAGGGGGAAGCGCCAACAGCGCCGGCACCGCCGTGGAACGCGAGAAGCCCCGCGACCAGCTCCGCGCGGGTGGTCCCCGAGACTCCGCGCATGCGGGCAACGGCGCGCAGCTTGGACATAGGCTTGGTCTGGAGGCGGCGCTGGTAGTCGGAGACGGATTGGGTCGTGGGGACCACGGGGGAGAGCGCCTCCGCGGAGAAGGACATGGCGGGAGCTGCTGGGGCGGGGGTGACACCGCCGACGCTCCTGTGGTTGGGAATAACCAAGGGTCGTTAGCAAGTAAAACAAGTAACAATGGCTTACATAACTGAAAAGAGTATCCGGAATGAATATTTTGGCAAAAGTAGAGAAGAGTCAGGAGAAAAAAAAAATGCAAGAATGACGACGGACCGGGGGGCGATGCTTACAGGAGCAGCTTGATGATCTCCGCCTTGGTGTCGCCGCGGAGACCCTTGGCCGAGGCGAGCGCGCGGAGCTCACCCAGAGTCTTGCTCTGCAGGAGCGCCTCGTCGCCAGAGACAGCTGCAGCGCTGGCGTACGATGAGGGCTTGGATGCGGCGGCACCACTGCAAGGTATATTAAAAGAGTGGCAGGAATAGAGACAAGATTCAGGACATTTAGTTATGAGCGAGCTTTAAGTTGCGAATAACCAGGGAAGGACACACTACGATGCGAAGAGCCGACAACTGGTTAACAAGCGGACGGAAGCATGATGCACTGACGGACTGAAACCCATAAAATCCAGCAGCTACTGGACGGGGATCACTCGCGGAAGCAGTAGCACTCACCCGGTGAGGGCAGAGATGAGCTGGGCCTTGTTGTTGCCGGTGATGCCCTTCATGCGGGCCATGGCGCGCAGCTGCTCCAGTGACTTGCTCTGCAGGTCGCGAGCGGTCAAGGCCGCGACAGCGACGAGTGACCGACGCTGCTGCTTCGCCTGGATCGCTGGGAGCGAGACCGACATGGACACTGAGCGTGCCTGCTCCATGGAGGAGAGAGCAGGTGCTGCCAGGAAGGCGGACTGCAGATAAGAGAGGGAAACGGAGACGTATGTGCAGATGGAATAGCATTGTTAGAGATTGAAAACGGACGGAGAAAGGCGGCATTGCGGGGATTATGATGGCAGTTAAAACGCCTAATGCCATCACTGTGGTTCTTCAAGTTTTCTGGCCGTCGGCATGCTGACCGATCTGTGACTCACAATAGGAGCTTAATCCTAAACGGTAACGTCAATCAGGCCTAATCTGACGAGAACAAGTACCTTCTGAGCGACGGCGGCCATGGCTGCTCTTTGCTGACGAAGCTGACGAAGAAGTGATGAAGGAACGAGCTAACTTGTCAGCAACGGAGAGCAGAAAAGGCAGACGAGCGAGCAGAAGACAATTTTCGAAATAATGCCCAGCTCGCCTCAATTTGAGCTGTCTCTCGCCTTGAGATTTCCGTGCCTATCCACTTCGCTTTTCCACTTCGCTTTACCATGGAGCAATCCGCTGGCATTTTGGCAGTTGGCTTTGGGAGGAGGGGTGTTGAATACGGTGGGGAAGGGTAGTGGGAGATGCATGGGGGAAAGCGGAAACCAGCAGGGCATGGCATGCGCGCCGACGAGTCTCGCGGGGATGCGTGGGAGCCCCAGGGAATTGCGCGGCTCCGGTGCGGACGAGTTACTGGGCAAGGTTCGTCTCAGTCTCCACCACACGTGCCCCCCAACGAAATTGCTGGTCTGGGATTGACGACAGACGGGTGATAGATCAAATTGCCAGCGTGGCGAGCCTGGAAAAGAGCGGGGTAATTACCTTCTGGGTAACTCACATCGAGCCCGCTGACGTCAAAAGTCACCTACGTGGCTCGATGGTACCCGTCAGATCATGCGCGCCCCTTCGTGGTACCCATCTTCCCTCCGTGGTACTCATCTTCCCTGCGTGGTACCCATCAACTGTGCGCGAATTCCCTGACTGGTACCGCAACATTTCAACCGAGCTGTACACCGTACACCAAGAGTTTCAATGCGTTTCTCAGTATATTGTCTTAACGTTTACAAGCTCAATAGAGTCACAAGCCCGAAGTGCCACCTGATCGAGTCAATTTATCACACCCATTACCTATAATAAAGTGTAGAAGAAAAGCTGGATTCTTAAATAAAATAGCATTCATTGGGTAGATTTGTTTAGGCTAATAAACATCGACAATATAACGTGCTATAAGATAACGTAAAACTGATATATTGCATCAACCGAAAAAAAACATCCGTATAGCAAACAATCAACTTACACATAAAGTAAATATTGACTTAAGGTATATTTGATTTTCATTATATGTATTGTTTTGTTTCCAAAAACCAACGAATGTACGTATTATTTGTTTATGATTTTATGTTTAGCTTTGGGGGTGCATGCTCAATTTATTTGCATACAACCTTATAAACTTTGTTCAAATAACATACTGAGCGCTGCGAAACATGGTCGCAAGATTCACTCTACCTGTCGTTCAGTGGTGTGAGCTTACGAAGGTTCGGAGGTAATGTGAGGATTTTAGAAGAGGAGTTGGTTTCTTTCTATGTTGCACTCTGTCCAGTGTAAGGCACGTTCAAACATTTATGTTCAAGGGTATTAATGTTCAATAAGAGTTTCTAAACGTTGTTATTAATATACTGAAAAACGCATTGAAACCCTTGTTGTACAGTGTACAGCTCGGTTGAAATGTTGCGGTACCAGTCAGGGAATTCGCGCACAGTTGATGGGTACCACGCAGGGAAGATGGGTACCACGGAGGGAAGATGGGTACCACGAAGGGGCGCGCATGATCTGACGGGTACCATCGAGCCACGTAGGTGACTTCTGACGTCAGCGGCTTCGATGTTGGTTACCCAGAAGGTAATTACCCAAAAGAGCGTCTGTCGGAATGGTTGGGCCATGCTGGCAGATTCCACATCGGACAAAGAGCCGACGGAATGGGTCTAGGTTCACGAACGGCCGTTTGCCTAGCGACTGCTTTTTGGGGGGACAGAAAGACGAACTAGCACACAAGTTGAAAATTTAGCTTTTCGGGCAGCAACCTCCTGAAGAACTCTTTTTCGTTATCCACGCAGGAACCGCTGACGTGGTTTTGATGTGTCCAGCTAGCCAGCTCTGCCTTGGTAGTCCGTCCAGATTCAAAATGGACCATCTAGTGGCTCCCGAAGCTTGTCCCGAATCAAGGCCCGATGGAATGTTTCAGCGAGCACTTGTGGCTGATATTTCCCCGGAATCGAACCGCCTGCCACGCGGCAAAATCCGAGAGCGGATAGCCTCCTCCTCATCGGTCCTCGAGAGCCGTCGTGGTCTGTAGTTGACCGTGGTGCTCGTAGAGCCCTCCTTGTCCCGTGGCATCTGTCCGACGTGGCATCTGGTGGATCCTCTCATCCACCATCTGTGGTGGCCCAACTCGACACCAGGCAGGCAGCCATGGCTGCCAATCAGCTGGTTCTTCATTCCCCACCAACCTCTTCTTCAATCTGCTACTGCCTTGGTCTTCCCAGTCTGCTAACTCTGAGAGTGTTGACTCCATTGCGTATTCTTCACTCGCCAACTTGACTCGAGTTTGCTCCCGCGAGTAACTCGTTCTCTTCGCCTTCGCCCGGCTTTTTTGGCGATTGTCGTCCGTGCACTCGCTACTAGCTCTCCGTCTGTGTTGACCTCGTAGCAGACACCATGGCTTCCACCACTCTCTCAGCCAAGGTCCGCTATCCCAACCTCTATCCCGATGATGTCGTCACCTTGTTTTCTTGTTTTCACTCCGCGTCTCGACAACTTGTTTCGTCCTTTTTGCATAATCTATTCTCCTTGCCATACGCTCCACGGTTCTCATTTGACCGCACTCCCCTCATCGTCTTCCCTTCCTTCTCCCGCCTCCCTCTCCATCTCTTCTGCTTCTCCTCCCCCTGTATCGGCCTGCAGATTGCCTCATCCGCGCTGCTCGGCTCGTCCGCACAGCTCTCCAGCAATGCGACCCTCTCGGGCGCAAAGCTCTCCGGAGCTCCCCCCGCGGGCCGCGCGCGCGTGACATGCATGGCGGAGGACCGCTGGGCGGGGCTTGGGCGCGACATTTCCGACGATCAGCAGGACATCACGCGCGGGAAGGGCATGGTGGACGCGGCGTTCCAGGGCGGGTGGGGACAGGGCACGCACGCCGCCGTGCTCAGCTCTTATGACTACCAGAGCCAGGGCCAGCGCAAGTACGTCCCGCGTGTTCCCTCTGCATCGTTTCCGCGTCTCTTCTGCCTTTCGTATGCGTCTAGTCTGTTTCTTATTATCTTAGCTTTTTTTCTCATTATCTATAGCCCGGCGCCCTGACTATCTATCTTTCTCGTTGTCTGCTAGCAACCTTATCTCGCTTTATCTGCAAAGCGTGTTACAGACGCCTGGCGACTCGTTGCTCCCCACTCCGCTCTCACCCCTCACCAACTCTCCCCCTTCCCCTCTTCCCCCTCCTCTCCTTCCCCCTTCCCCTCCTTCCCCCTTCCCCTCCTTCCCCCTTCCCTTCCTTCCCCTCCCCTTCCTTCCCCTCCCCTTCCTTCCCCTCCCCTTCTTCCCGCTCCCCTCCTTCTCTTGATCCCCACCCGCCAGTCTGAGCAACGTGACGGCGGAGGGGCTGTACATCGCGCCAGCCTTCATGGACAAGATGGTCGTGCACATCTGCAAAAACTGCTACCGGCGCCTCACAAGCCACTCGTTGCTCCCCGTTTCGCACTCACCCCGCCCACCCACTGTCCCCCCTCCAATCCTTCCCCCTCCCCCTTCCCCTCCCATCCTTCTCCTCCCCTTCTTCTTGCGCTTCTCCGCAGTCTGAGCAACGTGACCGCCGAGGGGCTGTACATCGCGCCGGCGTTCATGGACAAGATGGTGGTGCACATCTGCAAAAACTTCATGGCGCTGCCCAACATCCGCGTGCCGCTCATTCTCGGCATCTGGGGTGGCAAGGGCCAGGGCAAGTCCTTCCAGGTATGCCTTCCACGCCTTGGGTTTCCTCCCCCCTTTCCTCCCTCCCCCTCCCCCCCTCCCCCCCCCTCCCCCCCCCTTCTTCCCTCTTTTTTTTTTTATCTTCAACTTCGAAGAGTAATAGCTGCTTCTGTATTGCTCGCCGTCCCCCTCCCCTCCCTCCCACCCCCACCCCTCCACTTCCTCTAATCCTTTTTGCAATGCTGTGTCATGTCCTGGTAGTTTCTTAGTTTCATTCCTCTGTAGTGACATGTTTATACGCTTGAGCATTTCCTCTAGTATGGCTGTCTAACCCGCTTCCATCCGCATATGCCATTTTGTCCGCGTTACAGTGCGAGCTGGTGTTCGCGAAGATGGGCATCAACCCCATCATGATCTCTGCGGGAGAGCTCGAGAGCGGCAACGCCGGAGAGCCCGCTAAGCTCATTCGCCAGGTGAGCAGAGCACGTCGCGTTGCCGCAAGAAATCCCTTTGACAAGAGGATATTCCCCTTCTCGCTCTGTCGTTACGTCGCCTGGTCGTTATCTCGCCTAGTCGTTGCGTCCCTCCGTTCAGTGCGACTGAGCATCAACTGCCCGAGACTTTTGTTCTTGATTCCCGGCGGCTTTTCGCCTCGTGTTCCAGCCTCCTAAATCGTCACACCGCGTCTATGTTCCACCGCCGCGTGGCAACACTTTGCATTCATCCCCCGTCTTATCTACCCGTCTCGATTTTCCCCTCTTATTCCTCCCGCAGCGTTACCGCGAGGCGTCGGACCTGATCAAGAAGGGCAAGATGTGCGCGCTGTTCATCAACGATCTCGACGCGGGCGCGGGGCGCATGGGCGGCACGACGCAGTACACGGTGAACAACCAGATGGTCAACGCCACGCTCATGAACATCGCCGACAACCCCACCAACGTCCAGGTACGCCGCGCGTCTCCGACAGTGGTAACGACGGTTCTGTTGGGCGTGTTTTCTTTGTCAGTGATTGGTTACGAGTGGTACGCCTGGCTGCTTAGTTAAGCGTGCTTAGCGCCAGTGGCGCAGGCTAGTAGACACTGCTCTCTCGTCCCCGTTGAATAAATGAGCTTTAGATGGTGAAAGTTGCGAGGCGCACAGTAGAGGGATTGCGAAAGTGAAAGGCAAGTCCAGGTTCAAGGCTCCTACTTCGCGCGGCAGGCACTGATTAGCACAGCTCACATGGCGGCATTACTTGGTTTTTAAGGATTGTTCAACACCTGATAGCTCGAGGTTGTGGCGAGAGTGCCTCAAGAGAGGATTGGACCCTGAATCGCGCTGGATTGGGGAGCCTACGGCTATTCCACCGAATCGCCTGGCAGCTCGCTAGTGAATAACTGAACAACTAGTGATAAGAAATGGGATGACAGAGATCACAGGTTGTACGCTTGCCCATGGTCGTCACCTCAATCCCCCTCTTTTCTCCCCTCATTCCGACCCCCACCAGATGCCCGGCATTTACAGCAAGGAGGAGATCAACCGCGTGCCCATCATCGTTCTAACCCTATGTCGCCACTCCATTCACCTCCTCCCCGCTCTTCTTCCTTCTGCTTTCTCCCTTGTGCACTAACCACTCTGAACCCCACCAGATGCCTGGCATTTACAACAAGGAGGAGATCAACCGCGTGCCAATCATCGTCACCGGAAACGACTTCTCAACGCTCTACGCGCCGCTCATCCGCGACGGACGCATGGACAAGTTCTACTGGGCGCCCACGCGCGACGACCGCATCGGCGTGTGCTTGGGAATCTTTAAAGAAGACAACGTGTCGGAGGCTGACGTCGTCCAGCTCGTGGACACCTTCCCCGGCCAATCCATTGACTTTTTCGGGGCGCTGCGCGCGCGTGTGTACGACGATTTGGTCCGCAACTGGGTGGGGTCGATCGGGATTGAGAACATGGGCAAGAAACTGGTCAACTCGCGCTCTGGCCCTCCGGAATTCGAGAAGCCGAGCATGCCTCTGTCTACTCTCCTGGAGTACGGTCACCTCCTGGTTTCCGAGCAGGAGAACGTGAAGCGGGTGCAGCTTGCTGACACCTACCTTAACGAGGCGGCTCTTGGGAATGCCAATGCGGATGCCATTTCCCGGGGGACGTTCGACGGAGGCAGGACTCCCGCTCCTGCTCCCCCTGCTCCTGCTGCGCCCAGGGCCGCTGCTGCTCCGCCTGCTCGTGCCGCTGCGCCGGCAGCAGGGGGAGCGGCAGGGGGAGCGTCTGGGCTGGAGGGCAAATCGCTGGGGGAGCTGCGGGCGCTCGCCAGGCAGAGGGGCGTGCGGGGGGATACCAAGGCGGAGCTTATTAAGGCCCTTTCTACTGCCCCTGCTGCTGCTGCGGCCGCTCCTGCCGCTGCTGCTGCTCCCGCTGGCAACGGTGCTGCCAAGTAAGTTCTGGCTGTTAAGAGTACCAGGCATTGTGCTGTGCAATCCTCCGTCTGCCTTCCTCCTTCCCAACCCTTGCCTTCCTTCCTCCCCGTGCCATACTCCTTCCACCATGTGCCATAAGGTTGAGTGAACCCCTTCCTCACCATCCTTGCCATTTTCCTCCCCTCGTCCCCTCCCTGCTCACCCACAGGGCGACGCCCATCGCAGCCTCGTCGTTGGCCAACAAGACGCTGGGCGAGCTGAGGGCGCTGACCTGTCATATGGATGTGTTGTCCTTAAACCCTTTACCAGTCCTGCTCACCATCCTTAACTTCTTCCCCTCGTCCCCTCCCTTGATCACCCACAGGGCGACGCCCATCGCAGCCTCATCGTTGGCCAACAAGACGCTGGGCGAGCTGAGGGCGCTGGCCCGCCAGAGAGGCGTGCGTGGCGACACCAAGGCTGAGCTCATCTCACTGCTCTCTAAATAGGTGAGCTGCTGGGGATGGTGTTGTTGGAATGAATGGATCTCGACTCCTGTGCTAGTTTGATGTGCTCTCAAAGCTGAAATGGAATACTGTACATGCCTGTACTGTACATGTGTTTGATTCTATATGCCTTTCTCCATCTCTTCTTGTGCCTTGCAGGAACATGGCAGACATTCCACTCAATAATTTGTCATTATCATGCTCATAGTAAATTTTGTTTGGCTGCCCTGCTCTTCCCATGTCTTTTATGCCTGATTTGTGAAAAAACCCTGGTTGGGATTGGCCCACCCGATTCTTTCTTTCCAACTTGTAATGAGGAAACCGTAGATATCTACATCCCTGAGTATCTGCATAATTTCATGAGTGTTGCGCCTGCCATGAGTTAGTTTTCTGAAAAAGAATCAAGTCATCACCAGTCTCTAACCTAGTTTAGTCTATGAGGTCATCACCTATCCTAGAAAAACGTCCCGTAACATGCCCCGTCACGTCACGCCCCACAGCCCGTACCGCGCGCCCCATAGCACACCACGCCCCGTCATGCCCCGTAGCACGCTCCGTACCGCGCACGCTGCCCCATATCATTGCCGCCCACCTTTCCATGCAAGTCATGGTGTGAGCAACCAGAATGCTGACTCAATCAGCCTGAGAATATGTGAGCAAAGTTCAGAATGTGGTACACATCTCAATATCAAGCAAGCATCCATGCACTCGGGAGAACAGTGCCCCTAGGTTTTGTCTGCCAGAAGTAGCAATACCAGTCGCAATGTCCCATGAAAGGGATGTCTCCAGGCCCCCAGAAGTCAGAGTTTTTTGTCTGATTTGCTTGTTTTAGTCTGAGATTTCAGATTTTTTTTAGGGTGTACTCTGTAAAATTCAGATTTTTTATTGCCTCAACTCTGTGAAAATCAGATTTTTTTTATAGGCTGACTCTGACGTTTCAGAGTTTCTCGGGAGTGTACTCTGATGAATTCAGAGTACAAACGAGTTCTTGACTGGTGATTCGGACTTCACGGGTCACAGCAGATTCGCACTGTCAACGCAAAATCGCCTTGACACAGCAAATCCGCGCCTTACAGCAAAGAAATTTCGCCCAATCATAGCAAAGTCGCCCGGACACCACAGATTTGCGCCGTCATAGCGCAACAATTTCGCCCAATCACCAAAAATTCGCGTCTGACATTGCAGATTCGCCCTGTCACATCACTAGATTCGCTCAGCAAAAGATTCGCCCAATCACCACAAGATTCACCCAATCACCATAGGATTCGCCCTGACACAAGATTCGCGTCTGACATTGCAGATTCGCCGAAATCCCCTTAGTCTAGTTTCGGTAACAGGTGAATGAAACATTGAATACATTTCTGATGAACATTGAATACATTGATTTCGAATGTTCAGACTTTTTTCTTTAGAGACTCTGAAATTTCAGCCATTTTTTAATACCAACTCTGGGAGTTTCAGACTAAAACTGTGTACTAGTCTGACGAATCAGACAGGCCAAAAACGAATCTGAGGGCCTGGATGTCTCTGTTGCATGATTAATTATATTTGCATGCTTACATCGATGATCCTGTTTTTCAGAGATGTTGCTATATGCTTCTCTGGTGCATGTTTAACCACCTATTGCTGAATGTCCTTCCTGGGACGTATTTGTGTGATTTATAACCTAAGCAGATCTATCGTTATTTAGGCAATTACCGTATCTAAATCTACAATCATTAAAGCAATAATAAAGCGCGCCACGGTCTTCTCTTGGTCTTCTGGGCCCCTCTTGGCCACTAGGGGGGTTAACCCCTTGTGTTACACCCACACACCACGTTGAGGTGGGGACCCTTCGTGTGGGACCTGCATGGGGACCACGGGGGGTTAGTAGCAAACAGCAAGCAAGCAAGCAAGCACAGCAACAAACAAGGAAACAAACAAGGAAACAGCGAAGAACAAGCAACAAACCAGGAAATAGCAAAGAAGCAACAAACAAGCAACAAACCAGGAAATAGCAAAGAAGCAACAAACAAGCAACAAACAAGGAAACAGCGGAGATGAACATGCAAGGAAAGCACGGAAAGCAGCTACACTTACAGCACCCACCACCACCACGACCGTTGCTGGTGTGCCGTGCAGTCCACCTCCGCTCCGCAACCCCGCAGTGGCACGAGGAGGACATGAAACGTCTCTCAAGCCTCGCTCAAACCAGGCAGAGCCCGGCCCAGGTGGAGGCGGGGTGAGGCTCATCCGATTTCAGGCAGCGTCCCGCCATCCATCATCAGAGCACCCACACACAGGGGCGCTTCAGGCGTTAGGAGGCCAGCCCTAACGCCGTTAGCACTCCCCTGCCGCACTCCACCTGATGCCACCGTTGGCGGTCTTCAGTGCTCCCCACGCATGTTGAGCATATCAACTTGAGGGGAGGGGAGGGGAGGGAAGAGGAGGGGAGGGGAGGGGAGGAGAGGGGAGGGGAGGGGAGAGGAGGGGAGGGGAGGGGAGGAGAGGGGGGGGGGGTGAGGGGGTCTTTGGTCTTCAGTCTTCGGTCTTCTTCCTGTAAAAAGATAGGAAATATAAAACAGCAGTCAGTTTTCTGAGGCGATAAAGCAGGCAGTTGGGGAGAAAAGCAAGGCGATAAAGCAAGACGATTTAGCAAATCAGCTTACCAGAGAAGCGCAGAACCGACCGATCCTCGCCCCCTCTGCTGCATCTCCTGTGTAATGGAAGAGGCAGAATTTAAGAAACAGTGTTAAGGCAGATAGATGAAGGAAAGTAGGGAAATTGAGCTCACAAAAACTGAAAAACGGCAACGCATACAGAGTCAATGCAAAATGAACTTAAGGGGAGAAGAGGAGGCTTACCAGAGAAGAGCAGAGGCGACTGCTCCTGTTCCTCTGCTCCTCCTCGCCCTCCTCTTCTCCTCTGGACAAACCAACCAGGCAAAGAGAACGGGACAAACAGAACAAGGGAAACAGAATCAGGGCAAGCCGTTTCAAGGCAAACAGAATTCAGAAAAGAGAGTCAAGGCAGGAAGATAGGCAAACCGAGCTCACGGAAACAGAAGTATGGCAAGCGAAGAGGGTTACCAGAGAAGAGAAGAGACGAGTGCTTCTGTTCCGCCGCTCCTCCTCTCCTCCTCGCCCTCCTCTTCTCCTCTGGACAAACCAGGCAAAGAGAACGGGACAAACAGAACAAGGGAAACAGAATCAGGGCAAGCCGTTTCAAGGCAAACCGAATTCAGAAAAGAGAGTCAAGGATGGAAGATAGGCAAACCGAGCTCACGGAAACAGAAGTATGGCAAGCGAAGAGGGTTACCAGAGAAGAGAAGAGACGAGTGCTTCTGTTCCGCCGCTCCTCCTCTCCTCCTCGCCCTCCTCTTCTCCTCTGGAAACCAGGCAAAGAGAACGGGACAAACAGAACAAGGGAAAGAGAATCAGGGCAAGCCTTTAAAGGGCAAACAGAATTCAGAAGGTAGGCACAAGGCGGGAAGATAGGCAAACCGAGCTCACAGAAACAGAAATATGGCAAGCGAAGAGGGTTACCACAGAAGAGTGCTTTTGCTCCTCCGCTCCTCCGCTCCTCCTCCTCCTCCACCTCTTCCTCCTCCTCCTCCTCCACCTCCTCCTCCTCCTCCTCCTCCTCCTCCTCCTCCTCCTCCTCCTCCTCCTCCTCCTTCTCCTCCTCCTCCTCCTCCTCCTCCTCCTCCTCCTCCTCCTCCTCCACCTCCTCCTCCTCCTCCTCCACCTCCTCCTCCTATGCTGCTTCGCTCCACTCTACTCCCCTCCCCTCCTGCCACTCCTTCCTGGCCAAACCAGAAACACAAGGCGACATTAGCACGTAGACAACAAAGATGCAAAAAACGAAACTGGAAACGAAACTTACCAGGAATGAGTGTCGGTGATGGTGTTGACTCCCCTCCGACCTGCCAAAGCAGAGACTTACATGTCGATGATGCTGTTGACTCCCGTCCATGCTGCCGCCCCCCTCCTTGCTTCCACACCACACCACACCACACCACACCACTCCACTCCACACCAAAACCAGAGGACGGAGTGCAGGTCAGGTTGGGCGTCAAAGCTGGAAGAGGAGGTGCGTGGAGGGCAGTGCTGAAGAATGAGGACGTGGAGCAGCGATGGGCGGGGCCGCCGTGAGGACTTACGAGAGGGGGCCCCACCCTCTCTGCCTCACATTCCCACCGCTACTCTCCGTTTCTCATTACCACAGCATCCCAGTCATGCATCCCCTCGTCCAACCCATCAACCACTCCCTCACGTTCCTCCGCCTCAACCCTTGCCGGACGTGCCGCCTCCTCGCCTCAAGTGCCGCCTCCTCACCTGAAGTGCCGCCTCCTTGCCAGAAGTGCCGCCTCCTTGCCACCTCGTCCCCTCACCTGAAGTGCCGCCTGGTTGCCTCGTCCTCCTTTCCCAAGTGTCCTCCTTGCCTCGAGCCCCAAGAGTCGCATGCTTACCTCCTTGCCCCAAGTGCCCTCCTTGCCTTGAGCGGGTGGTCAGCAGGGCGAGTAGGAGGCAGCCACACGCCACTGGCTGCCGGCCGTGCGTCATCCCACCACGCTCGCCCGTCCTCCTCGCTCCACCACACCACACAAAACCAGAACATTCCAGACCACTCCATACCAAACCATACCGCACCACACTACACCTGCTACTCTGCAGTCTCCTCCTCTCCTTGCCTCAAGTGTCCTCCTTGCCACGAGCCAAGTGTCCGCCTCCTTGGCTCCTCAAATGCTCACCACAAGTGCCGCCGCCTCGAATGCTCACCTGAAGTGCCGTCTCCTCGAATGCTCACCTGAAGTGCCGCCGCCTCGAATGCTCACCTGAAGTGCCGTCTCCTCAAATGCTCACCTGAAGTGCCGTCTCCTCAAATGCTCACCTGAAGTGCCGCCGCCTCGAATGCTCACCTGAAGTGCCGCCGCCTCGAATGCTCACCTGAAGTGCCGCCGCCTCGAATGCTCACCTGAAGTGCCGCCGCCTCGAATGCTCACCTGAAGTGCCGTCTCCTCGAATGCTCACCTGAAGTGCCGCCGCCTCGAATGCTCACCTGAAGTGCCGCCGCCTCGAATGCTCACCTGAAGTGCCGCCGCCTCGAATGCTCACCTGAAGTGCCGTCTCCTCGAATGCTCACCTGAAGTGCCGCCGCCTCGAATGCTCACCTGAAGTGCCACCGCCTCGAATGCTCACCTGAAGTGCCGTCTCCTCGAATGCTCACCTGAAGTGCCGTCTCCTCGAATGCTCACCTGAAGTGCCGCCGCCTCGAATGCTCACCTGAAGTGCCGCCGCCTCGAATGCTCACCTGAAGTGCCGCCGCCTCGAATGCTCACCTGAAGTGCCGTCTCCTCGAATTCTCACCTGGACTGCTGTCTCCTCAAATGCTCACCTGAAGTGCCGCCGTATCGAATGCTCACTTGAAGTGCCGTCTACTCGAATGCTCACCTGAAGTGCTGCCGCCTCGAATGCTCACCTGAAGTGCCGCCGCCTCGAATGCTCACCTGAAGTGCCGCCGCCTCGAATGCTCACCAGAAGTGCCGCCGCCTCGAATGCTCACCTGAAGTGCCGCCGCCTCGAATGCTCACCTGAAGTGCCGCCGCCTCGAATGCTCACCTGAAGTGCCGCCGCCTCGAATACTCACCTGAAGTGCCGCCGCCTCGAATGCGCACCTGAAGTGCCGCCGCCTCGAATGCTCACCTGAAGTGCCGCCGCCTCGAATGCTCACCTGAAGTGCCGTCTCCTCGAATGCTCACCTGAAGTGCCGCCGCCTCGAATGCTCACCTGAAGTGCCACCGCCTCGAATGCTCACCTGGAGCGCTGTTCCCTCGAATGCTCACCTGAAGTGCTGCCGTATCGAATGCTCACTTGAAGTGCCGTCTACTCGAATGCTCACCTGAAGTGCTGCCGCCTCGAATGCTCACCTGAAGTGCCGCCGCCTCAAATGCTCACCTGAAGTGCCGCCGCCTCGAATGCTCACCTGAAGTGCCGCCGCCTCGAATGCTCACCTGAAGTGCCGCCGCCTCAAATGCTCACCTGAAGTGCCGCCGCCTCGAATGCTCACCTGAAGTGCCGCCGCCTCGAATGCTCACCTGAAGTGCCGCCGCCTCGAATGCGCACCTGAAGTGCCCTCCTTGCTGCTACACCACACCACACCACACCACACCACACCACACCACACCACACCACACCACTCCACACCAAAACCAGAGGACGGAGTGCAGGTCAGGTTGGGCGTCAGAGGCGGAAGAGGAGGTGCGTGGAGGGCAGTGCTGACGAATGAGGACGTGGAGCAGCGAGGGGCGGGGCCGCCGGGAGGACTTACGAGAGGGGGCCCCACCCTCTCTGCCTCACATTCCCACCGCTACTCTCCGTTTCTCATTCCCACAGCATCCCAGTCATGCATCCCCTCGTCCAACCCATCAACCACTCCCTCACGTTCCTCCGCCTCACCCCTTGCCGGACGTGCTGCCTCCTCGCCTGAAGTGCCGCATCCTCGCCTGAAGTGCCCCCTCCTTGCCACCTCGTCCCCTCACCTGAAGTGCCGCCTGGTTGCCTCGTCCTCCTTTCCCAAGTGTCCTCCTTGCCTCGAGCCCCAAGAGTCGCATGCTTACCTCCTTGCCCCAAGTGCCCTCCTTGCCTTGAGCGGGTGGTCAGCAGGGCGAGTAGGAGGCAGCCACACGCCACTGGCTGCCGGCCGTGCGTCATCCCACCACGCTCGCCCGTCCTCCTCGCTCCACCACACCACACAAAACCAGAACATTCCAGACCACTCCATACCAAACCACACCGCACCACACTACACCTGCTACTCTGCAGTCTCCTCCTCTCCTTGCCTCAAGTGTCCACCTTGCCACGATCGAAGTGTCCGCCTCCTTGGCTCCTCAAATGCTCACCTGAAGTGCCGTCTCCTCAAATGCTCACCTGAAGTGCCGTCTCCTCAAATGCTCACCTGAAGTGCCGCCGCCTCGAATGCTCACCTGAAGTGCCGCCGCCTCGAATGCTCACCTGAAGTGCCGCCGCCTCGAATGCTCGCCTGAAGTGCCGCCGCCTCGAATGCTCACCTGAAGTGCCGCCGCCTCGAATGCTCACCTGAAGTGCCGACGCCTCGAATGCTCACCTGAAGTGCCGCCGCCTCGAATGCTCACCTGAAGTGCCGCCGCCTCGAATGCTCACCTGAAGTGCCGCCGCCTCGAATGCTCACCTGAAGTGTCCTCGTTGCCTTGAGCGGGTGGTCAGCATGGCGAGTAGGAGGCAGCCACACGGCAGTGGCTGCCGGCCGTAGGTCATCCCACCACGCTCGCCCGTCCTCCTCGGTCCGCCACACCACACAACTCCACACCATTCCTCACCACACCATACCACACCACACTGCACCTGCTCCTCGCCTCGAGTGCCGCCTCCTCGCCTGAAGGGACGCCTCAAGGCCTCCTTGCCTCCGCGCCGGCTCGTTGCCCCAAGTGTCCGCCTCCTCCTCATGCCACACCATACCATTCCACACCGCACTACACCTCTGCTGAAGTGCCGCCTCCTTGCCTCCGCGCCTCCTTGCCCTCAGTGCCCGCCTCGAGAAGAGCGGGTGGTCAGCAGGGCGGGTAGGAGGCAGAAGCCTTGATTGATGCGCTGAATAAGCCTTGATTGCTGAAAAACAGGGGTAGGGAACACACAGACAGATGCACGAAGTCAGTAAACAGATTTGCGAAATGGAAAAGACAGCAATACGAACACAAGGAAATGAAATGCGGAAATTGAAAGCGGAAAAACAAAGTGCGAAACTGAAAGCGGAGAACAACACGTGGAAACGAGGTGGTGGGATGGATGCACGTCCATGATACGTCGGCTGCAGCTAGCAGAGGGAGGAGCTATGCTACCCAAAACCCAAACTCTATGCTACCCAACCCAGAATCTATGCTACCCAAAACCCGCGGAGGACATCTACTAGGCTGCAGCCGAGCGTATCATAAACGCGAAATGCGAAATAAACGCGAAATGCAGGACGATGGAGTGAAGAACGAGGTGCGGAAAACACGGAATGACGAAACGAAACGAAACGAAACGGATGGAGGGTGGGGAACGAGAAGGGAAGGCGAGGGGAAAGACACTTCCCAGTTGCCTTGCTGCTCCACACGCCAGTGCCGTGCGTCATCCCACTGCGCCCGTCCACTGCGCCAGGATCAGCCAGCAGCACTCCAGCAGCGCCAGGATCAGCCAGCAGCACTCCAGCAGCGCCAGGATCAGCCAGCAGCACTCCAGCAGCGCCATGATCAGCCAGCAGCACTCCAGCAGCGCCATGATCAGCCAGCAGCACTCCAGCAGCGCCATGATCAGCCAGCAGCACTCCAGCAGCGCCAGAATCAGCCAGCAGCACTCCAGCAGCGCCATGATCAGCCAGCAGCACTCCAGCAGCGCCAGGATCAGCCAGCAGCACTCCAGCTCGCCGCTCGCCTCTCCCGCTCGCCACAGCAATGCAGCGTCGTCCCCCCTGCTGCTCCAGTAGCTATCGCCCCGTGGTTGAGTCTGAACGAGGAGCAGAGAGAGCAGAGAGGCACAGAGGGTAGAATTAGCCTCAGAGCAGCAGAGACAGCACACGACAGAGTGGCACTGAGAGCAAGAGCAAGAGCGGGTAGCCGAAAGCGAACAAGGAAGGAGTGCGAGAAAGCAAGCAAGTGGCAGCGAACAAGATAGGAGTGCGAACGGTGAGCAGAGTGGCACGTGAGTGAGCACGTTTGCATGCGAGAAGAAACGCTAGATGCAGAAGGGTGCAGTGACAGCGGCGCAGGGTGGGGGGGGGGGGGGGGGGGGGGGGGGGGGGCAAGGGTAGAGGAGGGAGCTTACCTTTTGGGCCACTGACCAGTGCCAGACCGAGGGTAAAAAACGAACCAGGGTAACAATCGCAAAAAAAAAAAACCACCCATCTCAAATACAACCCCCTCACCCCGTCATGCGCGAGGGGCTTTTCGAAGGTGTGTTCGGGTGGGGAAAAATGGGGGGTATTCGAACCCCCCTTTGTCAAACAACTGGCTTGTTCAGAGGTTCCCCTCTGAACGGCAATGCGACGGCTGTGCCATCGCTGTGCTTCGAAAAACGAGGCATGGCGATGACATGGCCTGGGGATGGAACTTTGCCTGGGGACGAAGTTGCTTCCCCGCTTCCATATGCCGTCGAGCATTTCGTTTTGTGGGAGAAATGGGGGCGTTCGCCAGACACCCCCTTTGATTGTTGGTTTGGACAGTTGGGGAGGCTCGGCACCTTTTTTACGGGCTGACCAGGCTGACGGAGGTAAACGAACACTAACGGACGGGATCAGGAAGGCGAGACCCACCTTCCTGATCCCGTCCTTATCCCATGTTTTTTCGCTACATTGGTGCTGGCGAACACCGCCCTTGAGTCGAGTCGCCATGGACACCGAACTGAATCCCGTAGATGCCTCAGAGGGGATCTGCGATACTAGCTATTGTAG